CTATAAGAGCTTGCTATTATGGTTCTCCTCTTGTACACAATTTGTATGTAATCTAGATTCAAATAATAAGATAACAGTGGATATAGGCTTAATTCCAATCTGCCGAATCACTTTAAAAACGTTTTGTTTGACTCATTATGAATTTTCTAATTCACTCCCAGTTGATTATTTATAATCACGAGCCCTACCCAATTCCGTCTTGGTAAACTGGATAGCTTTGGTTTTTGTTCATGACAACATATACGTTGGTCCTTATATTGTAAAACTGAATGGAAAGAAGGGTATACTAAAGGCTGGAAAAAAATAGATATATAGGAGATAATAACAAACCATGGTGGATTGAATTCTTATTCTGTACAACATTTACTTTTAAATGTTTGCCCCAAAATAGGTTTGCCAGTTTTCAAAAGACGATTGAATCACTTGGATTTTAACGAGAGATGGAAATAAACGCACATTTTATTCATTTTCATGCTACTTGTTTTTATATTTTTTCTCTTCGAGTGGTCACGACTCTTACCCCAACTCCAATAACATCTGCTCCCACCATATGCACGTTAATGTCTAAGCCTTCCATGCTACTTCACGTGTTTGATGTAGCTTCTGCCTTTTCAAAAATCTTCTAGAAATAATTGTTGAGCCATGTATTGTTTGTTAGAATGTAGAATTATGTTTTATATTTAAACAACATAAGGATTAGTTTAGCTTAGTGATATCACATAATTTGATTTGCATAAATATAAATTTGACTATTATGAATTCTCAATAAATTGAATGGTTAATAGATAGTCCTTTGTTAAAATTATTTAAAAATAAATATTATCACTTCTTAATTATACTGTACGTATGTATGTTTCATCACATGGAAACAAATGGAGATATGATGAATTTAATTAAACGGTACCTACAAAATATTTAATAATACTGATTATGGAATAAAGTTGGAAACATTATTCAAATGGCTCGTTCGTTGGAGAATACAGAATTTATGAGGTATAAACCTAGTGCAACCACTTCTTATTTTTCGACTGTGAGTTACCATGGGTAACATGTACAATAAACACACATAGTACAAATTTATTTTGGTAGATGACAAGATAATTGTGGAATAATTAACATTTATTTTTACACAAAATACATTACACGGTGACACCAACCATCCGCGTAGAGTAAATTCTTACATTAACAAATACTACAAATATCTCTTCTCTTGCATAAACATAGAAATCGGAATGACTTGTCCAATGACCATACATTCTAAGTCCTAACTCCATCATGTGCTGCAAACTCATATGCATTTATTTTGAGGCATTATATCCATGTCTAATAATAATAATAAATATTAATTTCGTAAATAAAAAGAATGATATAATTTGATTTTGTGTTCTGAAGTCTAAACTAGATAATTAGGGTAAAATGACAAATGGATTTACCTTAAATTTATGATAAAGTAATACTACGTATATAATATTTTTCATACAATATTATGTAGTAAAATATAATTGTTTGGTTTTAAATTAAAATTAAACTTTCACCCAATCATCTTTTGTTACGTAATGTTGTATAAAAAATATTATACGAAAATGTTATATGTGTATTATAAGTAATGTTACACTTACATCATTTTTTTACACTATTTTGTAAACATCATGATATGACATATGTTACAACCACATAAATTTTATTATAATATTAAAAATTTAAAATAATTAAAAATTTATGTAATGACAAGATATACCATATCATGATGTTTACAAAATAGTATAAGTGTAGTATTACTCGTGTAGTATTATTCATGGTGATATGACAAGGATGGAGAACAGAATTGCTGAGGTGGCGGCGAGGGAGAGATTGGGATGAGATAGAGCATTGGTAAAAACAGAAGGGTTAATGAGTAATTTACAAAATAAATTTAGCAATGGAAAAAAAAGTAAGTTTATTTCCGGACAAAGATTCCTCCATTTGTTGCTTTAAACCATACACAACTGACAATACACATGGGTCGCACTCACTTACCTCTTCTGCTCACCCCTCACCACTCCTACTTTTACCCATACACGTGACTTGCCCTTTGCCTACTCCATTTACCCCTTCCAATTTCTCGCGCTTTTTTTTCCCATTTTAACTTCTCCTTAAAGACGCGGTGTTTCGTCCGCAACCTCTCTTTCTATTTTTTCCCCCTATTAATGGACTGGGTCGTACCAGGGTAAATTATTCAAATTTGGCTTAATTTGGTCAAGGTCAGCAAGGGCTACCTCCGTCCTACCACCTAAAATTTTAATTAAAAATAATTTAAAATTGGTTTTTCATAGGGGGAATGTTAGTTATAACGAACTGGTTCATCAAATATAGTGATCCCAATTAATCAATATAATTGAAGTGATATCTGTAGGGCTAATACAAATGGAAAAGTATGTATCAAAACGATATCAACTTTGATTGGCTAAATTTGATAGTTGGTGTTGATATCTCAGAAATATTGCTGCATAAAATCAACCTATTTTAGTTAGGATAAAGATTTCTGACGCCTCATCTTTACCTTGTTTGTTGGCATTGAGGAAAGCAGCTTAAGAGAATTTCTTTGTAACAAGTAAAGATAGTTAGTTTCTTGACAATTCACTTCATCTCGTATCACACACAATCATGCTGAAAATGGATGCGAATTATCCGGATTATCGTATCTTCATTTTATATGTGTCTGGTAGCAAATTGGATCACAGTTGTCTTTACAATTTTGACAACACGGATTATATATAATGTATATGCCAGAAAAAAAAAAGTAATCTTTTTGTATTGATGACAAATAAATGGAATTTAATTCAATTTATTGCGTATACTATTTTGAGTATATACTTACATTTAAATCCTCTATTCTTTGTAAACTCCACCGCAACATTAGAACCAATCCGAAATTAAAATACAGCAATATGATATTCTTGTATTAATATTATATGATATGAATATTTTAATTCTCTATCTTCAACAGTAATATTACCTTCCAATTTCATATATAGTAATGCTGTCCACAGTGTTTATTCGTATAAAACAAATTATTATTATTATTATTATTTACATAATAAAGATAATTACATTGTAACGAAGGTGATAGAAATGAATAGGTTTTTTACTATGAAAAGTGCACATTTTTTAACCATTAGAGAAAAACCTAAATATGTATTTAGTAACCCACATTACCCTTTCGCTGTCATTCATTTAACTCTTCCAACAACAGGAGTCTCAACTAAACGAAACTCCTTACTTTCTCTTTCAATGCTATTCTTTAATTCATCTTGTCATCCCAAAGATTTTTTGAAATCAAAATTAGAGATATCTTGATATTTCTATCGGTGGTTGCGTAGTTCAATAGAAACTCTTGAGTATATTATTCAAGCGATCATTAGTTTAAGTCTCTCATCGGATACTAATAAAGTTATCTATAGGAGTTTTTACTCAACCGTTAGTTCTGGGATCTCAGGAGATTAGTTAAGGTGTGCGTAAGCTAACCCGAATACCTCCGATCATACAAAAAAAAGGTCGTACATAGAATAGCCTTAGTAACAAATTTACTATAAACTATCTCTGGGTGATAAAGTGATTTAATAAGGACTATTGAGTGTATTACTCAAGAGATCATGAATTTAAGTCTCTCATCGCCTCCTTAATCACTAATAGGATTAGCCATTGAAACTCTTATCTAACCGATAATTTTAAGATTTCAATAATTTTGTTAATTTACGCTTAAATTAATTCAAACATTCAAATCATAAAATAATAATAATAATAATTTTTACTAGACCATTCCATCGCAATTCAGAATTCTCCTTTTATCTTTAATTGTCACCTTCTCATTTATGCCAAAGATTAATAAATCATGATATAATCCGCTTTTTCAAAAAAGTTAGGTAAATAAGCCAAGGTAGTTTGAGGAAATAGTACCTGATGACAACAATACCAACCAAAGGAGGTTCAATGCATTTATGCTTGGGCGATATTCATAATCTAACTATATATCATAAATCCTCACTCATTGCTCCTGCATTCAGTTAATTATTTATTTAAGAGGTTATTCAATATATCCCCTGTACGTCTGACACATTTATATTAATCACCCTACTCTATTTATAACCTCTTTAATTGGTCCCGTATTGTAAGTTTGTTATTCGATGAATATTAAATACATTGAATTATGATCTACCTATATCGCCTTAATATAAGTCCTCTACAATAGTATCGTATCCGATTCTTTAAGGTTAGTAATTCAGTATTCTTAATCTTAATCTTAATCTCTTTCAATTAGTCACCTATTTATTTAATATTAATTCTTCAAAAATATATTTTATATGAAATCAATTTGTTTATAAGGTTTTTATCATAAAAAAATAAATGCACCACATTTAATTCACAATTATTTATTTCTAAAATTATGATATAGTTATTTTATTATAAATAAGATAATTCGCAAGTGATATTTCAAATAATTGTATTAGTCTACTAGCTCTTTGTATTTGGAAGTCCAAACATTAAACAAAGCCTTATCTCAGCCTATCATGAGAAACGCGTTCGCAATTTTGCCGCCACGAGATAAAAGTGACTCACGATATGTTAAGCAGTGACAACCGCTATTCAGAGAGTTTGTTTGCACCATTACCACCTAGGCGCACGCTAGACATAGGCTATATGAATGGAGTGCAATACTGTAGCAGGATTACCAAAAAGTACATAAGCTAAAGTGCGCCAAGGGTGTTAATTACGCACAGTCTATCCCTTCACATCCATCCAAACCTGCCCGTTAATAGCACGACAAAGCCACTTCCCCATAAAAACAGAACAACTTTCCCACTAACGTCAGGACAAACGTCGTTACCTGCCAAACCAACCATACCTCGACACATTTCAAGGAGTCCCCACTTAACGCCGTTAAAAACACAAACGAAACCCAAAGCAAAGCCGCCTTTATTAATGAATTAAGTCATTAACCTCCGCGGACCCGATCGTGTCGCTTTTATCTGGTCCCAAAGGGGATCACCGGCTGTAAAAGGTTGGAGTCACCGGTAACTGCCGGTTGCCTCCGCGAAGAAAAGACTGGTTAGAAATTGACCGCGGTTGAAATGATTGTACGCAGTTTTGACCACTCTGGTTAAGTCTCTCTCGATTACACACAGCGAGACACAAACACAATACAACACAAACAACGCCTAGAGATAGAAAGAGAAAGAGAAAGAGAGGAGTCTGTGTACGAGCTATACCTCTGGCACCTGTAATTGTTGGCTGAGCTGGGTTGCAGAAGAGAGAGAGCAAGATAGTGACTAGAGAGAGAGTCTTACCAGTTTTGGTGCTTAAATCGAGATAATACGTCGTGGATTTGTTTCAGAGGGAGTAAAATTTTAGTTTTAAAGGATTGTGTGTGTTGTGAGCTTATCAGATGAGAGATCTGAGTTTGGAGATTTGAATTGTTGAAATGATGGCCACTGCTTCTTCAGAGGTGTCGATAAAGTCTTCCAACGAGACTAGCAGGAGTCCTATGGAAGGGCAGAAAGGTAACTTTGTTTTTCCTGGTACCGGAATTTCTAAATTTCCGGTATAAGTTTTCTCGTTGGTATTTTTGATCTGTTTTTTTAATTTTTTTTCCTTCTTTTCTCTTGATGTTTCGTTGTAAACCCCGAAACGGCGCTGTACAAGGAGCTATGGCATGCATGCGCGGGTCCTTTAGTCACCGTGCCTCGTGAAGGCGAGCGCGTGTACTACTTTCCTCAAGGCCACATAGAGCAGGTTCTACACATTTTTCTTTTTGGGTTAAATTTGTTAATTATTACATTATATTTAATTTTAATATTTCTCATTTTTTAAGAAATATTTCGGGTTTTTATTTTTTTAATTTGGGCGCAATTTAATGTGTAATAATCAATGAATTAGGTCGAAGCGTCAACCAATCAATTCGCTGACCAGCAAATGCCAATTTATGATCTTCGCTCAAAGATACTTTGTCGCGTGATTAACGTGCAATTAAAGGTATTTAGGGTTTTAGTTTAATTTTTTCTCAAGTTAATTCTTGTTTTTTAAGATATTTTTTTTGTTGATAAATCGTTTTAATAATAGGCTGAACCGGACACTGACGAGTTTTCTCAAGTGACTTTGCTTCCTGAGCCAACGTAAGTGTCGTTCTTTGTCCTGGTCTTTTAACTGGTGTGATGAGTACTATGACGGGAATTGAATTTTCTAATTGTTGGATTTTTTTTTTTTTTTTGCTATTATTAAAGATGAGAATGCTGTAGAGAAAGAACCACCTCCTCCACCACCGCCAAGATTTCATGTACATTCCTTTTGTAAGACGCTAACTGCATCAGATACGAGTACCCATGGTGGGTTTTCAGTGCTCAGACGGCATGCGGATGAATGTCTTCCACCATTGGTTAGTGTATATTTATATATATTTAATTTTTGAAATTTAGTTTGTATTCCCGTTTTAGTATTTCATAGCAATTGGAGAGATGCTGAGAGGGTGGGTGTTTATTCTTCATTATGACAGGACATGTCACGGCAGCCTCCCACCCAGGATTTGGTTGCCAAGGATTTGCATGGAAATGAGTGGCGATTCCGGCATATCTTTAGGGGTAATGGCGATTTGTATGATTATTATTAATATTATATGGGAACATTCCTCATTTGATTCTTGCATATGGTTGCCTTCACTAAAGAACTGTTAAATGTTCATATTTGAAGAAGTTTTCAGAGGATTTTGTTTTAGTGATGTTCATGATTATGGTATATATCAGTGTCACCCACGGAGGCACTTGCTACAAATGTTGGAGTGTTTTTGTTAGCTCAAAAGGCTGGTAGCGGGGATGCGTTTATATTTCTGAGTTGGTTGTCTACAATTTTATGAAACCCAGTCTTATAAGCTTCACCATCGTTTTTTCTGTCTTATGAGAACGATACATGGACTGAATTTTTTTTTTTTTCAGGGGTGAGAATGGTGAACTTCGTGTTGGCGTGAGACTGCAATGAGGCAACAGGGCAATGTTCGTCTTCTGTCATATCCAGTCACAGCATGCATCTTGGTGTCCTGCCACTGCATGGCATGCAGTCTCCACTGGAACCATGTTCACAGTTTACTACAAGCCTAGGTACTAGGTTTATGATATGTATCCGCCATGTGCTTTTGGTGGTTGGATTATTAGTTGGATTCATTGTAATTCATTTTTCACATAACCTATAGAGTTATACTCTGTATTTAATCATGGCTTTAGCATTGCATGAGATGTAGTGTTGCTGATGTTATTCTTATTATTGAAGAGGAAATCTTATTTAAATGGTGTTTTCTAGTCTTAGATCAATTTATTTATAATTCAATAATGCGATGAGATGTGAGTGTGCTGTCCTTTCTTATAATGGAAATTCTTGGTTCAGATTGCTGACGGCTTCTTGTTGCAGGACAAGCCCAGCAGAGTTCATTGTTCCCTTTGATCAGTACATGGAATCTGTGAAAAGCAATTATTCAATTGGAATGAGATTCAAAATGAGATTTGAAGGCGAGGAGGCTCCTGAGCAGAGGTATGGTTTGTGGTCGGTGTTATTCTACTTTTACTGATAAAGATCTGTTCAATCTTAACCTCATTTGAAAGTTATTTGTTTATTAATATTTTCATGTGGTATTAGCAATTTTTTTAGCATTCTCCCGTTTTCCCTTTTTTTTTTTTTTTTCCATCTGTTTGTGGATTTTGCTGCTTACTGTTGACTATTTCTTCTTCATATGAACTAACTGTTATTGATTGCTCAATTGATTCTCTTTGAAGGTTTACTGGCACCATTGTTGGCATTGAAATGCTGACCCCCAAAGGTGGCGAGATTCCAAATGGAGATGCCAAGGTAGTATTAGTTTTAATAAAAATTGTGTTTGCTGTGTTCTATGATGCTGAAAAGCAAACGTTTATGTTCCCTTTTAGGTGGATGGGACAGACTTCTACCATACCTAGGCCGAGAGTTTTCCTTGGAAGATAAGCCTGCACTGGCTCCTCCAGCCCTCAATCCGCTTCCAATGCCTAGGCCCAAAGGCCCAGATCAAACATGGTTCCCTCTTCACCGGACTCCTCTATTCTGACAAGGAGGTACTGTTACAGTGACGCAACTTCTTATTTCAGTTTTTGTATACTTTCCTACATATTTACTCTTAAAGATCAAGTGAGATTTGACTCTGCTTCTGTTAAATTGATTAGGCTCATCTAAGAAATGTAGACCCTTCATCACTACTGGATTTTCAAGGGTCTTGCAAGGTCAAGAATACTCGACCTTGAAGGCAATTTTGCTGAGAGGGATAGCAATGAGTCTGATACCGCAGAAAAGTCCATTATCTGGCAGCCTTCACTTGATGATGAGAAGATTGATGTGGTTTCTGCTCCAAAAGATATGGATCCGAGAACTGGGCGCCAGCAGGGAGGCATGAACCAACTTATACAGATTTGCTGTCAGGCTTTGGGACGAATGCTGGTTCTGTCCATGGTTATAGTCCATCCATTGATCATGTCCTTAGCATCAGCCATTCCAGTGAGAAAAAGCTTGCTGGATCAAGAGGAAAGTTTAACTTGCTTCCCATCGCATGTCTTTGATGCCCTCTAGTCTCTCACTTAAGTTGTCAGAGTCTAATGAAAGTTTTCAGTTCAAGGTGTTGATATAAGTTATCAAGTAACGGGCAATGGGGGATATGGTGGTTGGGTGACTATCCCACTCTTCAGAGTCGTAGAATTGAGCCCTCTAACGGAAACTGGTTTATGCCCCCTCTGCCCCCATCTCATTTTGAAAATTCAGCTCATTCGAGGAGTTGATGCAGAAACCCATATCGGTACAAGACCACAGGCTGGCAAATCCAAAGACTGCAAGCTCTTTGGCATTCCCCTCTTCAGTAGCCGTGTTACACCGAGCCTGCTGTATCACATCAAAACCAATGACTGAGCCAGTGGGCCACATGCATCACCAATTTTGTGCACTTGAATCTGATCCCAGGTCAGAACAATCTAAGAGCCCTAAATTGGCAGATGATAGTCTTGGTGTTATCGAGCAGGAGAAACCGTCACAGACTTGTCCACCTCATTAAGGATGTTCGTAGCAAGCCTCAGAGTGGGTCTTGTAGGAGTTGTACTAAGGTATTTTATCTCACCAGTTCCAATGTTGATATCTTGGTTGGTTTTAGACACTCGTTTTATTCAATTCCTTTCAATTTCAGGTCCACAAGCAGGAATTGCACTTGGTAGGTCTGTGGACCTTTCAAAGTTTAACAACTATGAGAATTGATTGCTGAATTGGATCATTTGTTTGAATTTGGCGGTGAACTATGGCTCCAAAAAGAAATGGCTCATTATATACACTGATGATGAGGGTGACATTATGCTTGTTGGAGATGATCCCTGGCAGTAAGGATTCTTCCCATGCACTATGATATGTAACAATGTTTGTTTTGTTTATTGTAGGCTTCTTGTATCTTTTTCCTTATTAGGCTTCTTTTGATCATGGTTTATGTGGTGTCAAATCAGGGATTTGTGGCATGGTCCGCAAAATTTTCATCTACACAAGAAGGAGGTCCAGAAGAAACCAGGGTCCTTACTCTCTAAGGGTGACGAGAATCTATCCATTGGGGAAAGTGCAGATGCAAAAGAAGTGAAACATCAGTCACTTCTTCTGCATGTAATGGCGAAATTGTTAGAATGGCTTCCATGGATTCTAGGTAACTCTCTAGGTGTATTTTCAATATGTTCATTTTTAGAACAGCCTGATGCAGTAAACTTTCATTTCTGAAATTGTGTTGTAGAGGAAAAATAAGTGAACCCTTTTTAAACACCTGTGGTATTTGTTATGTTGTTTTACTTGTTCCATCTTCTGTCATTCTAAATATTTATGCCTGTCGATAATGTGGTCCTTTGCTTTTCCTATGTTAGGTTTTGCGTGGTGTATCAGTGAAAGATTCTACAGCCATTCCTGGTTGGAAATATGCGGTAATAGAGATGCATAAGAGTCCAATAGAGATGGATAGAGTCCGCCGCAATGTATGAATGGCACGGTATCCAATTTTGGACATGGCGTGTGGTGCCCGACTATATAGATGCATTATAATGTATACCCCGTATTTTGAGCATGGCAATCCTAGGCTTTGCTCCACCGACAGTGGTATCCCCTCTTGTATATAGTTGTAAATGTAAGTAGTTTAAGTCTATACAGCCTCTAATGTCATTTTGGGTAATCATACAATCAGCTTCTAATGTTTCAATTAGTTGTTTTTCTTATTTCAGTCATCATTGGTTATAAGAGAGTTGTAGTGTACCCATTTTTGCAATGATTTTTAACTTCCAAAAATAAACATTTAAGTAGAATCAGTCAATTTTTGCGGTGTGGTTGTGGTATGGGTGGGGCAAGCGTTTGTAGGGTTTTCCGAAGTAATGTCTGTGGCATTGTTTTAAAAACCGGACTAGAGGACAACCCGTTTTGTTGGTCGGGTGATGGTTCAACCGTCTACCGGTTTGGTGATATCATCACACATCATGATGATGTCAGCATATTTTAATCATACTGTTATATATTAGTGTTACCTAACATTCGAATTCCTGTTATATATTAAGTGTTAACCTAACATTTCGAATTCCTCTTCCAGTAAGTTGAGTAATTAAAAGTTGGCCTTCCAACCATACAACTGGCTTGTTGAAACTTTATTTGAATTACAACAACTACAAGATTAAATATTTACCACACCCAAGTAATAAGTTGTGTAATGGCTACAAACTGGGATTGTACATTGTCTCCAATTCTTTACACTAAAGCATGGAGATTTATGGCTTCCAAATGATAAAAGGGATGAGTAAAATTTCAAAATCGGGATTCACACTATTTCAAAACAAAAGCAAAAATGATAAAATAAACATAAGTATATCTTTTTATTTGCATATAAAAGTTATACGTGGCTTGAATTCTAGTTCTGAAAATGCCTCTTATTAATACAAATAAATTATGACAACCAAGGCAAAAATATTCTAAGTGGAAATCACAGAGCTTGAAGACATCTGAAACACACCTTCAAATGATTGAATCCATATGGCAAAATGTTACCAAATTCACAAACAATCCACTATCTGCAACGCTCATTCAGAAAGGGTAATATGAGAGTACTAAGATTGTAATTATACTTCTCATACATCACTTCCACCCAAACACCAACAGCACCAAACAAAGTCAGAAACAATTCATTACAAATAATCTCCATACTCACTTCCACCCAAACAGCAACAGCACCAAACAAACGGTTGCTTAAAAATTGTACAATAAAATATCCAGTACTGCTCGGATAATGGGTGCGAATTCTGTTACTAAATTGTAGCTCGAACGTCAACTTACTCTCTATTAAAACAGGACAAAGAGAAAGCACACATTTCAAATTTCACAGCAAAGCCCCGAAGATTACAACTCCACTTGAATCAAATTGGATTGTCAAGACATGCATGCCAATCAGCCTTCATGCGTCGATTTCCGGTGAGGGAGGAACGCGTCGTCGCGTTTTCAGAGACTGGAGTTGCGATCGATTTCAGCAACGAATGGTTGTGATTTCGCAAGGGATGGTTGCGATTCAGCAAGATCAAGTTTTGATTTGTGATATTTTTCAGATTTTCGTGATTTCATTCAAATTTTTTCAGAGATTTTTGTGCGTAGAGGAACTGAGGAAGAAGAAATGCGCAACGCAAAGGGAGAAAGTGAGAAATTTAGGGTTTTTTCATTTTTTAGATTGGGCCGATTTTCTTGGCGGTCCACACTGTTTACACAGTCAATGACGGTTAAGCGGTTTATTACGCAATAGTGGGTTTTATGCTAACTCGAACTGGACACGTGATCGGTTCACGGTCCAACCAGTTGGACCGGCCAGTCCGTCCAGCTTTTAAAATAGTGGTCTGTGGTACAGTTGTACTCGAAACAATGATAGTTCAACAAAACTCAAGTCAAGTCTGATCGTTTTCAATTAACTCGAGTAGTGGAACGAGTGTTAGGGTTTCAGTAATAGTTAGTTTGTAATTTATGTGTATCCACAAGCTCAACGGTTCTTAAGCGTCGGTAAACTCACTGACTCCATGTCTCAATAGCATTAGGCTTCATTTAAGTATTAGGCTTCATTTATAAACAAGTTGTAATTAATGTGAAAGATCAGAGTCATCTAATTACTTATTGAAAATCCAGAAGTGTTCATGAAGATCTCAATCAAGACAATCAGTACAATGGGTAGGCTGTACTTCACGGAAATGTCAAATATGGCTTTAGTAATTACGTTCGAAAAGATAAATTTTATAAAAAGCAGAACGATGCGGAACCACAGATGTTTAATTCTCTAAAAGCTTAATTAATGGTGCAGTTACCACCAAGTGCATGCTGATCTACAAAGTTTAAAAGGCCACGACTACTTTAAACTTTAAAGTTGACTGGTTGTGGGCAGCCGATAAACAAAGAAACAGATTACATGCTTTAGTTTTCCCCATGAGAAGAGAAGCTGCAGATCACAATCCTTGCTTTCAGATGGGCTGTTGAAGAAATCTACATCATGCCATGAAAGCCAGCTGACTCCAGAAGTACTGCTTTGATTTGCTCAGGGTGGACATCCTGGCCTTCCTTGCATTGCTGGATAATCAAAACACATTAGTAAAGAAGATATATCTCCGGTGGTTTTTACAGTTTCTTCTACAGGAAAGAGTTGAGTTTGTCATTTTAGTTGTAATGTTTCTCAGGAAATTTAATTTCTATAGAAGATAAAGAATTGATGATAAAAGAAATTATACCTCAGCTCGGAAATATCCATGGCAAAACCATTGAAACAACTGATGACAGCTTGCAGGATGTCTAGTCCAAGATTATCCAATGCTCTCATTGTGGACAGCAAAAGACCAGGTCTGCGCCCCAAAACATGTGAATATTTACAGCTCTTCCTCTCTTGCTCTACTTCAACCTACACAAGCAGCAAAAATGAAACTGTCACTGAGACGTTCTATAACCCCGCGCTAACAGTCTCTTAAAAATCTAATGCATTTGTTATTATATTGACGGCAATACCATCTAGAAATGGAATTATTATGATAATAATCATATGCAAGAGTCATATAACCCTCACTATCTAAACTGAGTGCGATATATAATTGAATAAGGCAGTCACAAACATCTCCTGCATATTCAGTAACGTTGAAATTTCAGTATGGTTCATGACTAAACTGTGATCTCCTTGAACAATTTAAGAAGAAGAAACTGAACAACTTGGCGGTAGAAATAGAGCTTGAAATAAGAAAACCACATCACCTGGATTAATTCAAGCACAATGATACATACCCTTGCAGGTTGGCCATTTGGGCTAGGCAATGAGCTGGGGCAAAGCTCATCCTTGATACGACTATGCAAGGTAGGTGGAGTGGGTGTTAAAGGGTGGAAGGTTGTGGTTGATGTCAATGCTGAGCCGGAGGGGTTACTCTAATCATTGTGGAGGTCATTGATCCTCTGAAGAAGTTCCTTCAAGTACTCAATTGCATCCCCAAGATTGAGCCCTGTCCATCTGTGAGCATGAAAAGGATAATAGAACTAGCATAATGTCATTTCAATGAAGCAGAATCAAACAATTATAGCCCCAAAGGCATTGTCTCTTCATAGTCAAGTACTTCTTCAAAAATTGCACATTGGCACAAATTTCTAGCCTGCTCCTGCTTCAGATTTTACCAGGACTTCTAATCTTGCTTTTGAAAATTTTGCATTCACTAACATCAAACTCTAAGCTAGCAGAGTCACGTCAAACAATATGCTAGCCTTAATCTGAAGTTCCCAGATAATGTTCTTTAAACAATGATTACCAAATATATCATTTTTTTTAATGATACCCATAGTCTTTCTTGTATATTCGAATTCTAAATTGGGGATTGTTCTCTAAGAGGATAGAGGAACCTTTGAATTCACACAAGAAAAGACAACAGAACCATAACAAATTAAAATTTAAAACAAAAACAAAAACCAGAAAAGAAGAAAACAAACACATCTATAGAATTGAAATTCAAATATTTCAAAGTAGCCTTTGCAGCTTCTTTCGAAAGACAAAAGCAAGAACTTGCACTTTAAATTTTTGTTTTGGACACGTTATATAATAAAAATTTGATTCCCGCAAGTGGTCCAGAAGATTATGGCGAAATTTAAACCATTCTACCAGTTTCCATGTGAGGAAATTAATGCAACTTTATTCAAGCATTTTAGAGCATGAAAAACAAAATATGCAACTCAGCCAATTAAAAAAGAAGCATAAACAATAAAACGGCAGTTAGTCCAAGAACTTGCAATTAAGAACCATTCGTACTCCTACTCACGAGAAATTAGAATCTTAAAAAAAAAAAAAAAAAAAAACAAGCAATTCATATGCTTGAATTCACGAGAAAATTACGAAGAATTTCTTACTTTGCTGATTTTTGGAACAACAGAGCGCAACATGTACAGTCTATCATTGAGCTCTTCCTCCGTCGCCTCTCCGCCATCAAATTCTTAGCTGTGCAAACCCTTCTTCTTGCCCTTCTGGTCTCCACCAGTAACTGTGCTATTTGCATTCGAGCTACTCCCCCATTTTTGCCAATTTCGTCCCCTTGTTATTCTCAATAAACTCATCAGAGTCATAATTCAAACCCGAGCCATCAATCTCACGTCTTCCACATCATCACTTATACTAAATTTCCTCTTTCTCTCTATTTCTTCACTCATTTCTTTCTTCCCTTTATCATTATCAATTCCACTCAAAATTTGGCTACCTTGTGCACCTAAAACCCCCAGATTGGTCCCATTATCAGCTAAATTCTTCCTAGCAGCTCTTTTTTGAAAAAGAGTAGGTGTGCTCCCATTGGAGGTAAATTTTCGAGTGGCCTTAAACATTTAGACCTATTCAAAACAGAGAATTTCCACTATTTCATCAAACCCACGAAAACCCACAAAACTATTAGTGTTATCCGGCAACTGAAGCATACGAGTCGCTCCAAATTGCTGTTCAGAACATAAAATTGGAGCATTCATCGGATTATTGGAGCTCAAATCATTAAAACTACTCAAACCCCACCACCACCTCTGTTCAAACCATGACTTGCTTGTGTCTCAAGAAACCCCTTTCACCCAAATCAAAACCATGCTCTAGAGGGTTTTAGACACAACATTAAGGAACGAAGACAAAGTATTTTTGGGTGGATAAAGTAGTGTACCTGAGACGCATCAGATTGTTGAAAACAGAAGAAGATGGTGAACAAGAGAGGAAGATCCACTGCGTTGAGTAGTAGATTATCCGTTGCTGGGTCACCGAGATTTGGGGGTGAAAATGTAATATCTTGTGGTTATGCAAACTAGTATTACCAGTACATACCAATCACTTCCACTTCAAGCAAGATTTGAATCCAGAGAGTGAAGCCTCTCTTCCACTTGATTCTCTAGCACAACACTGTTATTATTAGTATTGTTGTTATTGTTGGTGTTGGTGTTGTTTCTGGTCCAAGTAGCTGAATCTTCGTCCTTTATCTTCCATCCAACCACACCATTCACTCGGAGAGCATCTTTAGGTTTGTGGAGAAAATGAGAGAAGAAAAGAAGAATAGTTTGTTGAAAAAAGTGAGAATGAGAAGACGTTGCAGAAGGAAAAGGGCAGTAGCTTTTTATTGAATCAATCAGCAGCAGAGATGAGAGAGTGAAGATTGTGACACGCCACCTTGCCCTGTGAACGTTACATTAATCACTACTACACGGTTGGCAGTTATTGTTTTCAGATAACATTCTTCCTCCCCAGTGGTAAAACCTGTATATTTGTGCTCCCTTCTCCACTTTCTGACACATGGCAAGGTGCGGTTCCTTTCCTGCACTGCATTAATTTTCGAACTCTCATTATAAAATCTCAAATGTTCTACATTACAATACAAAGATTTAATGGAGAGTAAGTAAACTAATTAAAGTTGGTTTAGTTGTAAAACTTTTGAGTAATTAAGGCATTATAGAAGGTATGTGATAAAAAAAGCAAAAATAAAGTGAAATTAAATGTCAAGGTGTGTATATGGTATAGCTTATTTGGTACAGTATGCATAGCCGTTATTAATATCTTATTACCAAATTTTGTATATTCATAGGAGATTTGTATTGGTGATCCGGATAGATATAAGGAGATTGAAATAAAAAGCATGATAAATTAGTTGGGAATGGGAAGTGAGTGTTAAATGTTCCCAGAAATTGGGATTGTAGTATTGAAGAGTATAATGAGCAATAAATATGAAAGAGTAGAGAAATGGCTTGGACTTGGACTAGTTGTACATAGTAGACAGAGTAGAGTAGAAGAAGGAGAGGATTCTCAATATCTCGTGAAACCTTTGAATTGTTCACCGCACCCCATCAGAACGCCAACTTTAACCTCCTCAAGCGTTACTTTCTTTCCCACTTGCTTTACGGAAGATTAGTTTTATTTCAATTCGATAACTTAATCATAACAAAAAATTATCTTTAACGTCGTAACTTCATTTTGACTGTAATTAAAGTTTTCTCTTCCTCATCACTATCACTCTTGCAACTGCTCATTGTATAAAAAAAAGAAAATTAAGTATTGTTTTGTCAAATCAACATTTACATTCAAATAAATTCACAAGGTGAATGTATTTTTTACTCCACTCATGAATTTATTTTATGTCAAATCAATATTGAATTTATATTTAAAATAATTTCAAAATGTTCATTTAAAATTTCCCTTCTATCCTAAACAAGGACCTTATCCATAATACTCGATTGGACCCACTAAATCTATATAAAACAATAAAGAAATTATTAATGTGAAAACATTGAATGTTAATTTAAAGTTAAAAAAGAAAAATGGTTCAAAAGGATGCAAGAGAATCTCCACAGTTGTAGTTATGGCTGCTCTCGTTTGCCTAGAAAATAGTATTAAATATCTGTTGCGCAGGCTCGTGATCTCCAGACATCATTGACAATTGGCTCTGATTTGCATTATTTGTAGGAAAACGATGTCTTCAATTTACAGCTTACAACTTGTACGATTTGATAGGTTACATTTCTATCACCTTTATAATACTTGTATACAATTTTTGTTTTATTCCTGGGTGTCTGGCTTCTCCGCTCCCGCACCTTTAACTAATTTTTATTGGGAGAGGTATTTTTGATTAAATTTTCTTTTTTTTTTTAATATTAGAGAATTTAATATTGAGAGACTATTTATATTTTTTTACTTTTACATCGACACTATGGTGATTATTTGTATATAGTTTTACGCTATTTCTAGAGATTATTGATCAAGTTATTAGCCAAATGTTGCTACATCTCCGTAAATTCTTCCATTAACATTCAAATTGTTACACCGTGGTGTTTATGGAAGACATTATATTATTTGTCACTAATATAGTTTCAATCTTAATCATTTCAATTTAATTTCAGTTTGTATTATAAGTTGAAAAATAGTATCATATTATTGGAGCAATGTTTTAATAACCAACTCAGGTGAAACCTGACAAATTCAGCAATACACCCTAAAAATTACAGTTAATCCTTATAGGTTTGAAATTTAGTAAAAACACCTAAATACAAATTAGCGATCGACTAGTTGGCAGCAGCGACACCCTAGATGCACTCAATCATCCATGAGCAATTCCCATAAATCTACCCAAGATTTGATGAAATCAGTTCGATTTTGGCCAAATCTCACCGACGTTGATGTTGACTTTCCAAGTTAGGCTCACCGATGGCGGCGCCGACAACCCCCCCCCCCCCCCCCTCCCCATCATCCCGAAAATACTTGCCTCACCTTCAACCAAAACCCACTTCATCCCACCCCATTAGCCTCCCAATCGTCGGCAAAAGCCAATGTTACTACCGCCAATTTTTTTCGCTTTCTGGTCGATTCACTCATCAGAAATCAACTCCGTCGCCACCATTGTACTGATCGACACTTTCTTTTTAAAACCCAAATAGTTCAGCTTTCAATTTTGCCGATCATCATCTAAATTCTAGGGTTTTGGGTAAATAAGAAAATTGTTAACCTGACCTGGTAAGCTCTGGGTCCGATTTAACCTCGTAGGTTTCGAAGTTATATATGTTTGAAAGTTAAATATCATGGACTAAGAAAAATATCTTTTTTGTAGTTTCTTTTCACTATTTTCATTTTTCTATTTCTTTTTTGGATAAATATATCTGGGCTTCCATTTTGATATCTAAAATTAGAGATGGGTATTGAACATATAGGATCCAAAATAAATCATTTTAGTTGTGTTAATCAAATAGTCAACATAGAATAAACATAAACATGTTCAGTGTTTAAATTAATATCTGCGAGTTTGATACATAAACATGTTTCTTCTATGTTCAAAACTAAAATGGGTGAATGATTAAACGAATGAAAATATTTTTATTTACATACACGTAATGACGTGGGTCATATGGGTTAAGCAGAGCTGGGCCAGGACTCGTCTGTGGGCCTAGCCCAAGGAAGTTCATCTTGGTCGGATGACTGGCTCACATGTTGCATCTCGGTCAATACTAAATTATCATTAAGATATTATAATGATACACTCAAATTCAATGCCGTATATACATGTTAAGGGGCGTGTCGATCATATAATATTTTATTATAGGTATATATTATATTAATAAAAAAAAAGATCACCTTGAAGATTACTGAAAACGTTTTGAAAATGTGTTTGGTTGCTTCGAATAAATTGGTTAATAATATGTTTGGTTGGGAGGATAAATATGTGAGTATGTTATATAGATTATTAAATTGTCCTTTGTTTTAAATATTAATATAATAGTATTTTTTATTATTATTTTTTTAATAATTTCTTTTAATCCCCTACATGTGAAATTTTGCTAAAACACCATATCTATATAAAACTTTAATTTGTAGCAAAATCACCCTCACCCACCCAAGCCACTGCCGGTAGCCAGCCACTACCACTGGCTGCCGCTGGTAGTTGACGGAATAGCGCATGACTGGCCAGCCGTATATGGCCGGCTGTGCGCTGGCAAAGCCAAAAATAGCCATAGATCACAAATCCACGGTCGAAAAACGACCAAATCTATGGCCATTTTACGGCTATAGAAACGTCAGATCTAACCGTTTCCGACCATGGATCCGAAAGACCAGTCAGATCGTACTGGTGTGCACCATTATGACGACTGACGTTGGTGGCCGATGGTGGTCTTGAGTAGTTGGGAGTATTTTGTAAACTTTTAAATTTTGTTGTGACTGAGGTGTTTTAGCTAATTTCTCAAATGCAGGAGAACTTGGTAATTGTTATTTGGTAGACATTTAAGGGTAATTGTGTGTGAAATGATTTTTAATTAAAGGCAAAATGGATAGAAAAATTAGATTATCCGGTAATGTTTTAATAGCACCTCCTAACAAGGTAATAAGATTACTCCCTCATATTATCAACAGTAAATACTATTTGCAATAAAAGATTAACATAATATTTTATTACTTGCAAATCAAATATCGGAATCTTCCAAAATAAATGAAGATTGCTCTCGTTATCTTATATACTCTCGATCCAAATAGCTCCTTAGTGTTATATTACTAAAGGGGCGTTTGGTTCAGGAATGTTAGATTACTGGGAATATTGAATTACTGGAAAGATAGATTACCTTGAAAGATTACTGAGAATCTTTAGAAAAATATGTTTGGTTAGTTGGTGGGTATGTTATATTAATATGTTTGGTTATGGGGAATAAATTGGTGGGTATGCTATTTAAATTACTAAATTATCCCCTTTTAAATATTAATATAAAATTATTTTTATTATTAATTTTTGAATAATTCTTTTAACCCCCAATATTTCAGATTTAGCTAAAACACCCCCGNGGTTGGAGTGTTTTTGTTAGCTCAAAAAGGCTGGTAGCGGGGGATGCGTTTATATTTCTGAGGTTGGTTGTCTACAATTTTATGAAACCCAGTCTTATAAGCTTCACCATCGTTTTTTCTGTCTTAATTAGACCGATACATGGACTGAATTTTTTTTTTTTTTTAGGGGTGAGAATGGTGAACTTCGTGTTGGCGTGAGACGTGCAATGAGGCAACAGGGCAATGTTCCGTCTTCTGTCATATCCAGTCACAGCATGCATCTTGGTGTCCTTGCCACTGCATGGCATGCAGTCTCCACTGGAACCATGTTCACAGTTTACTACAAGCCTAGGTACTAGGTTTATGATATGTATCCGCCATGTGCTTTTGGTGGTTGGATTATTAGTTGGATTCATTGTAATTCATTTTTCACATAACCTATAGAGTTATAGACTCTGTATTTGAATCATGGGCTTTAGCTTTGCATGAGATGTAGTGTTGCTGATGTTATTCTTATTATTGAAGAGGAAATCTTATTTAAATGGTTGTTTTCTAGTCTTAGATCAATTTATTATATAATTCAATAATGCGATGAGATGTGAGTGTGCTGTCCTTTCTTACAATGGAAATTCTTGGGTTCAGATTGCTGACGGCTTGTTGTTGCAGGACAAGCCCAGCAGAGTTCATTGTTCCCTTTGATCAGTACATGGAATCTGTGAAAAGCAATTATTCAATTGGAATGAGATTCAAAATGAGATTTGAAGGCGAGGAGGCTCCTGAGCAGAGGTATGGTTTGTGGTCGGTGTTATTCTACTTTTACTGATAAAGCATCTGTTCAATCTTAACCATATTTGAAAGCTATTTGTTTATTAATATTTTCATGTGGTATTAGTAATTTTTTTAGCATTCTCCCGTTTTCCCTTTTTTTTTTTTTTTTCCATCTGTTTGTGGATTTTGCTGCTTACTGTTGACTATTTCTTCTTCATATATGAACCAACTGTTATTGATTGCACAATTGATTCTCTTTGAAGGTTTACTGGCACCATTGTTGGCATTGAAGATGCTGACCCCCAAAGGTGGCGAGATTCCAAATGGAGATGTCTCAAGGTAGTATTAGTTTTAATGAAAAATGTGTGTTGCTGTGTTCTATGATGCTGAAAAGCAAACTTTTATGTTCCCTTTTAGGTGAGATGGGACGAGACTTCTACCATACCTAGGCCGGAGAGAGTTTCTCCTTGGAAGATAGAGCCTGCACTGGCTCCTCCAGCCCTCAATCCGCTTCCAATGCCTAGGCCCAAAAGGCCCAGATCAAACATGGTTCCCTCTTCACCGGACTCCTCTATTCTGACAAGGGAAGGTACTGTTACAGTGACGCAACTTCTTATTTTCAGTTTTTGTATACTTTCCTACATATTTACTCTTAAAGATCAAGTGAGATTTGACTCTGCTTTCTGTTAAATTGATTAGGCTCATCTAAAGTAAATGTAGACCCTTCATCAGCTACTGGATTTTCAAGGGTCTTGCAAGGTCAAGAATACTCGACCTTGAGAGGCAATTTTGCTGAGAGGGATAGCAATGAGTCTGATACCGCAGAAAAGTCCATTATCTGGCAGCCTTCACTTGATGATGAGAAGATTGATGTGGTTTCTGCTCCAAGAAGATATGGATCCGAGAACTGGGCGCCAGCAGGGAGGCATGAACCAACTTATACAGATTTGCTGTCAGGCTTTGGGACGAATGCTGATTCTGTCCATGGGTATAGTCCATCCATTGATCAGTCCTTACCATCAGCAGTTCCAGTGAGAAAAAGCTTGCTGGATCAAGATGGAAAGTTTAACTTGCTTCATCGTCCATGGCCTTTGATGCCCTCTAGTCTCTCACTTAAGTTGTCAGAGTCTAATGCAAAGGTTTCAGTTCAAGGTGGTGATATAAGTTATCAAGTACGAGGCAATGGGGGATATGGTGGGTTCGGTGACTATCCCACTCTTCAGAGTCGTAGAATTGAGCCCTCTAACGGAAACTGGTTTATGCCCCCTCTGCCCCCATCTCATTTTGAAAATTCAGCTCATTCGAGGGAGTTGATGCAGAAACCCATATCGGTACAAGACCACGAGGCTGGCAAATCCAAAGACTGCAAGCTCTTTGGCATTCCCCTCTTCAGTAGTCGTGTTACACCAGAGCCTGCTGTATCACATCAAAACACAATGACTGAGCCAGTGGGCCACATGCATCACCAATTTTGTGCACTTGAATCTGATCCCAGGTCAGAACAATCTAAGAGCCCTAAATTGGCAGATGATAGTCTTGGTGTTATCGAGCAGGAGAAACCGTCACAGACTTGTCAGCCTCATCTAAAGGATGTTCGTAGCAAGCCTCAGAGTGGGTCTTGTAGGAGTTGTACTAAGGTATTTTATCTCACCAGGTTCCAATGTTGATATCTTGGTTGAGTTTTAGACACTCGTTTTATTCAATTCCTTTCAATTTCAGGTCCACAAGCAGGGAATTGCACTTGGTAGGTCTGTGGACCTTTCAAAGTTTAACAACTATGACGAATTGATTGCTGAATTGGATCAGTTGTTTGAATTTGGCGGTGAACTAATGGCTCCAAAAAAGAAATGGCTCATTATATACACTGATGATGAGGGTGACATTATGCTTGTTGGAGATGATCCCTGGCAGTAAGGATTCTTCCCATGCACTATGATATGTAACAATGTTTGTTTTGTTTATTGTAGGCTTCTTGTATCTTTTTCCTTATTAGGCTTCTTTTGATCAATGGTTTATGTGGTGTCAAATCAGGGAATTTTGTGGCATGGTCCGCAAAATTTTCATCTATACAAGAGAGGAGGTCCAGAAGATGAAACCAGGGTCCTTACTCTCTAAGGGTGACGAGAATCTATCCATTGGGGAAAGTGCAGATGCAAAAGAAGTGAAACATCAGTCACTTTCTTCTGCATGTAATGGCGAAAATTGTTAGGAATGGCTTCCATGGATTCTAGGTAACTCTCTAGGTGTATTTTCAATATGTTCTATTTTTAGAACAGCCTGATGCAGTAAACTTTCATTTCTGAAATTGTTGTTGAAGAGGAAAAATAAGTGAACCCTTTTTGAACACCCGTGGTATTTGTTATGTTGTTTTTACTTGTTCCATCTTCTGTCATTCTAAATATTTATGCCTGTCGATAATGTGGTCCTTTGCTTTTCCTATGTTAGGTTTTGCGTGGTGTATCAGTGAAAGATTCTACAGCCATTCCTGGTTGGAAATATGCGGTAATAGAGATGCATAAGAGTCCAATAGAGATGGATAAGAGTCCGCCGCAATGTGATGAACGGCACGGATATCCAATTTTGGACATGGCGTGTGGTGTCCGACTATATAAATGCATTATAATGTATACCCCGTATTTTGAGCATGGCAATCCTAGGCTTTGCTCCACCGAACAGTGGTATCCCCTCTTGTATATAGTTGTTAAATGTAAGTAGTTTAAGTCTATATAGCCTCTAATGTCATTTTGGGTAATCATACAATCAGCTTCTAATGTTTTAATTAGTTGGTTTTCTTATTTCAGTCATCATTGGTTATAAGAAAGTTGTAGTGTACCCATTTTTGCAATGATTTTTAACTTCCAAAAATAAAACATTTAAGTAGAATCAGTCAATTTTTGCGGTGTGGTTGTGGTATGGGTGGGGCAAGCGTTTGTAGGGTTTTTCCGAAGTAATGTCTGTGGCATTGTTTTAAAAACCGGACTAGAGGACAACCCGTTTTGTTGGTCGGGTGATGGTTCAACCGGTCTAACCGGTTTGGTGATATCATCACACATCATGATGATGTCAGCATATTTTAAAATCATACTGTTATATATTAAGTGTTAACCTAACATTTCGAATTCCTGTTATATATTAAGTGTTAACCTAACATTTCGAATTCCTCTTCCAGTAAGTTGAGTAATTAAAAGTTGGCCTTCCAACCATTACAACTGGCTTGTTGAAACTTTATTTGAATTACAACAACTACAAGATTAAAATATTTACAACACCCAAGTAAATAAGTTGTGTAATGGCTACAAACTGGGATTGTACATTGTCTCCAATTCTTTACACTAAAGCATGGAGAGTTTATGGCTTCCAAATGATAAAAGGGATGAGTAAAATTTCAAAATCTGGATTCACACTATTTCAAAACAAAAGCAAAAATGATAAAATAAACATAAAGTATATCTTTTTATTTGCATATAAAAGTTATACAGTGGCTTGAATTCTAGTTCTGAAAATGCCTCTTATTAATACAAATAAAATTATGACAACCAAGGCAAAAATAATTCATAAGTTTGGAAATCACAGAGCTTGAAGGACATCTGAAGACACACCTTCAAATGATTGAATCCATATGGCAAAATGTTACCAAAATTCACAAACAATCCACTATCTGCAACGCATCATTCAGAAAGGGTAATATGAGAGTACTAAGATTGTAATATATACTTCTCATACATCACTTCCACCCAAACACCAACAGCACCAAACAAAGTCAGAAACAATTCCATTACAAAAATAATCTCCATACATCACTTCCACCCAAACAGCAACAGCACCAAACAAACGGTTGCTTAAAAATTGTACAATAAAATATCCAGTACTGCTCGGATAATGGGGTGCGAATTCTGTTACTAAATTGTAGCTCGAACAGTCAAACTTACTCTCTATTAAAACAGGACAAAGAGAAAGCACACATTTCAAATTTCACAGCAAAGGCCCCGAAGATTACAACTCACCTTGAATCAAATTGGATTGTCAAGACATGCATGCCAATCAGCCTTCATGCGTCGATTTCCGGTGAGGGAGGAACGCGTCGTCGCGATTTCAGAGACTGGAGTTGCGATCGATTTCAGCAACGAATGGTTGTGATTTCAGCAAGGGATGGTTGCGATTTCAGCAAGATCAAGTTTTGATTTGTGATATTTTTCAGATTTTCGTGATTTCATTCAAATTTTTTCAGAGATTTTTGTGCGTAGAGGAACTGAGGAAGAAGAAATGCGCAACGCAAAGGGAGAAAGTGAGAAATTTAGGGTTTTTTCATTTTTTAGATTGGGCCGATTTTTCTTGCGGTCCAGCACTGTTTACACAGTCTAATGACGGGTTAAAGCGGTTTATTACGCAATAGTGGGTTTTATGCTAACTCGAACTGGACACGTGATCGGTTCACGGTCCAACCAGTTGGACCGGCCAGTCCGGTCCAGCTTTTAAAATAGTGGTCTGTGGTACAGTTGTACTCGAAACAATGATAGTTCAACAAAACTCAAGTCAAGTCTGATCGTTTTCAATTAACTCGAGTAGTGGAACGAGTGTTAGGGTTTCAGTAATTAGTTAGTTTGTAATTGTATGTGTATCCACAAGCTCAACGGTTCTTAAGCGTCGGTAAACTCACTGACTCCATTGTCTAGCAATAGCATTAGGCTTCATTTTAAGTATTAGGCTTCATTTATTAAACAAGTTGTAATTAATGTGAAAGATCAGAGTCATCTAATTACTTATTGAAAATCCAGAAGTGTTCATGAAGATCTCAATCGAGACAATCAGTACAAATGGATAGGCTGTACCTCACGGAAATGTCAAATATGGCTTTAAGTAATTACGTTCGAAAAGAAAAATTTATTAAAAAGCAGAAACGATGAGGAACCACAGATGTTTTAATTCTCTAAAAGCTTAATTAATGGTGCAGTTACCACCAAGTGCATGCTGATCTACAAAGTTTAAAAGGCCACCGACTACTTTAAACTTTAAAGTTGACTGGTTGTGGGCAGCCGATAAACAAAGAAACAGATTACAATTGCTTTAGTTTTCCCCATGAGAAGAGAAGCTGCAGATCACAATCCTTGCTTTCAGATGGCTGTTGAAGAAATCTACATCATGCCATGAAAGCCAGCTGACTCCAGAAGTACTGCTTTGATTTGCTCAGGGTGGACATCCTGGCCTTCCTTGCATTGCTGGATAATCAAAACACATTAGTAAAGAAGATATATCTCCGGTGGTTTTTACTGTTTCTTCTTACAGGAAAGAGTTGAGTTTGTCATTTTAGTTGTAATGTTTCTCAGGAAATTTAATTTCTATAGAAGATAAAGAATTGATGATAAAAGAAATTATACCTCAGCTCGGAAAATATCCATGGCAAAACCATTGAAACAACTGATGACAGCTTGCAGGATGTCTAGTCCAAGATTATCCAATGCTCTCATTGTGGACAGCAAAAGACCTGGTCTGCGCCCACAAAACATGTGAATATTTACAGCTCTTCCTTCTCTTGCCCTAACTTCAACCTACACAAGCAGCAAAAATGAAACTGTCACTGAGACGTTCTATAACCCCCGCTAACAGTCTCTTTAAAAATCTAATGCATTTTGTTATTTATATTGACGGCAATACCATCTAGAAATGGAATTATTATAAGATAATAATCATATGTAAGAGTCATATAACCCTCACTATCTAAACTGAGTGCGATATATAATTGAATAAGGCAGTCACAAACATCTCCTGCATATTCAGTAACGTTGAAATTTCAGTATGGTTCATGACTAAAATAACTGTGATCTCCTTGAACAATTTAAGAAGAAGAAACTGAACAACTTGGCGATAGAAATAGAGCTTGAAATAAGAAAACCACATCCAAATTAACGACTCTGGATTAATTCAAGCACAATGATACATACCCTTGCAGGTTGGCCATTTGGGCTAGGCAATGAGCTGGGGCAAAGCTCATCCTTGATACGACTATGCAAGGTAGGTGGAGTGGGTGTTAAAGGGTGGAAGGTTGTGGTTGATGTCAATGCTGAGCCGGGAGGGGTTGACTCTAATTCATTGTGGAGGTCATTGATCCTCTGAAGAAGTTCCTTCAAGTACTCAATTGCATCCCCAAGAATTGAAGCCCTGTCCATCTGTGAGCATGAAAAGGATAATAGAACTAGCATAATGTCATTTCAATGAAGCAGAATCAAACAATTATAGCACCAAAGGCATTGTCTCTTCATAGTCAAGTACTTCTTCAAAAATTGCACATTGGCACAAATTTCTAGCCTGCTCCTGCGTTCAGATTTTACCAGGACTTCTAATCTTGCTTTTGAAAATTTTAGCATTCACTAACATCAAACTCTAAGCTAGCAGAGTCACGTCAAACAATATGCTAGCCTTAATCTGAAGTTCCCCAAGATAATGTTCTTTAAACAATGATTATCCAACAAATATATCATTTTTTTTTAATGATACCCATAGTCTTTCTTGTATATTCGAATTCTAAATTGGGGATTGTTCTCTAAGAGGATAGAGGAACCTTTGAATTCACACAAGAAAAGACAACAGCAACCATAAACAAATTAAAATTTAAAACAAAAAACAAAAAACCAGAAAAGAAGAGAAACAAACACATCTATAGAATTGAAATTCAAATATTTCAAAGTAGCCTTTTGCAGCTTCTTTCGAAAGACAAAAGCAAGAACTTGCACTTTAAATTTTTCGTTTTGGACACGTTATATAATAAAAATTTTGAATTCCCTGCAAGTGGTCCAGAAGATTATGGCGAAATTTAAACCATTCTACCAGTTTCCATGTGAGGGAAATTAATGCAACTTTATTCAAGCATTTTAGAGCATGAAAAACAAAATATGCAACTCAGCCAATTAAAAAAAGAAGCATAAACAATAAAACAGGCAGTTAGATCCAAGAACTTGCAATGTAAGAACCATTCGTACTCCTACTCACGAGAAATTAGAATCTTAAAAAGAAAAAAAAAAAAAAAAAAAAACAAGCAATTCATATGCTTGAATTCACGAGAAAATTACGAAGAATTTCTTACTTTGCTGATTTTTGGAACAACAGAGCGCAACATGTACAGTCTATCATTGAGCTTCTTCCTCCGTCGCCTCTCCGCCATCAAATTCTTAGCTGGCAAACCCTTCTTCTTGCCCTTCTGGTCTCCACCAGTAACTGTGCTATTTGCATTCGAGCTACTCCCACCATTTTTGCCAATTTCTTCCCCCTTGTTATTCTCAATAAACTCATCAGAGTCATAATTCAAACCCGAGCCATCAATGCTCACGTCTTCCACATCATCACTTATACTAAATTTCCTCTTTCTCTCATTTTCTTCACTCATTTCTTTCTTCCCTTTATCATTATCAATTCCACTCAAAATTTGGCTACCTTGTGCACCTAAAACCCCCAGATTGGTCCCATTATCAGCTAAATTCTTCCTAGCAGCTCTTTTTTGAAAAAGAGTAGGTGGTGCTCCCATTGGAGGTAAATTTTCGAGTGGCCTTAACAATTTAGACCTATTAAAAAACAGAGAATTTCCACTATTCTCATCAAACCCACGAAAACCCACAAAACTATTAGTGTTATCCGGCAACTGAAGCATACGAGTCGCTCCAAATTGCTGTTCAGAACATAAATTTGGAGCATTCATCGGATTATTGGAGCTCAAATCATTAAAACTACTCAAAATCCCACCACCATCTCTGTTCAAACCATGACTTGCTTGTGTCTCAAGAAACCCCATTTCACCCAAATCAAAACCATGCTCTAGAGGGTTGTTAGACACAACATTAAGGAACGAAGACAAAGTATTTTTGGGTGGCATAAAGTAGTGTACCTGAGACGCATCAAGATTGTTGAAAACAGAAGAAGATGGTGAACAAGAAGAGGAAGAATCCACTGCGTTGAGTAGTAGATTATCCGTTGCTGGGTCACCGAGATTTGGGGGTGAAAATGTAATATCTTGATGGTTATGCAAACTAGTATTACCAGTAACATACCAATCATCTTCCACTTCAAGCATAGATTTGAATCCAGAGAGTGAAGCCATCTCTTCCACTTGATTCTCTAGCACAACACTGTTATTATTAGTATGGTTGTTATTGTTAGTGTTGGTGTTAGTGTTGGTGTTGTTTCTGGTCCAAGTAGCTGAATCTTCGTCTCCTTTATCTTCCATCCAAACCACACCATTCACTCTGGAGAGCATCTTTAGGTTTGTGGAGAAAATGAGAGAAGAAAAGAAGAATAGTTTGTTGAAAAAAGTGAGAATGAAGAAGACGTTGCAGAAGGAAAAGGGCAGTAGCTTTTTATTGAATCAATTCAGCAGCAGAGATGAGAGAGTGAAGATTGTGACACGCCACCTTGCCCTGTGAACGTTACATTAATCACTACTACACGGTTGGCAGTATTTGTTTTCAGATAACATTTCTTCCTCCCCAGTGGTAAAACCTGTATATTTGTGCTCCCTTCTCCACTTTCTGACACATGGCAAGGTGCGGTTTCCCTTTCCTGCACTGCATTAATTTTACAACTCTCATTATAAAATCTCAAATGTTCTACATTACAATACAAAAGATTTAATGGAGAGTAAGTAAACTAATTAAAGTTGGTTTAGTTGTAAAACTTTTGAGTAATTAAGGCATTATAGAAGGTATGTGATAAAAAAAAAAAAAAGAAATAAAGTGAAATTAAATGTCAAGGTGTGTATATGGTATGGTCCCAAGAACAGTATAGCTTATTTGGTACAGTATGCATAGCCGTTATTAATATCTTATTACCAAAATTGTGTATATTCATAGGAGATTTGTATTGGTGATTCCGGATAGAATATAAGGAGATTGAAATAAAAAGCATGATAAATTAGTTGGGAATGGGAAGTGAGTGTTAAATGTTCCACAGAAATTGGGAATTGTAGTATTGGAAGAGTATAATGAGCAATAAATATGAAAGAGTAGAGAAATGACATTCAAGGCTTGGACTTGTACATAGTAGACTAAGTAGAGTAGAAGAAGGAAGAGGATTCTCAAGTATCTCGTGAAACCTTTGAATTAGTTCACCGCACCCAATCAGAACGCCAACTTTAACCTCAACCTCAAGCGTTACTTTCTTTCCCACTTGCTTTACGGAAGATTAGTTTTATTTCAATTCGATAACTTAACCATAACAAAAATTTATCTTTAACGTGTAACTTGTTGGTCATCATTTTGACTGTAATTAAATAACACAAGTTTTCTCTAACGTCTATAACTACTTCCTCATCACTGTCACTCTTGCAACTGCTCATTGTATAAAAAAAAGAAAATTAAGTATTTGTTTTGTCAAATCAACATAACCTATTATCTTATTACTTAAAATAAATTCACAAGGTGAATGGTTTATGAATTCATTAGTAGAATCTATTTTTTACTCCACTCATGAATGTATTTTATGTCAAATCAATGTAAGATTACATGAACTTGGATATTTATATTTAAAATAATTTCAAAATGTTCATTTAAAATTTCCCTTCTATCCTAAACAAGGACCTTATCCATAATACTCAATTGGACCCACTAAATCTATATAAATAAATAAATAAAGAAATTATTAATGTGAAAACATTGAGTACAATAAATGTTAATTTAAATTTAAAAAAGAAAAATGGTTCAAAGAGGATGCAAGAGAATCTCGAACCAGTTGTAGTTATGGCTGCTCTCGTTTGCCTAGAAATAGTATTAAATATCTGTTGCGCAGGCTCGTGATCTCCAGACATCATTGACAAATTGGCTCTGATTTGCATTATTTGTAGGAAAACGATGTCTTCAATTTACAGCTTACAACTTGTACGATTTGATAGGTTACATTTCTATCACCTTTATAAATACTTGTATACAATTTTTGTTTTAATTACCTGGGTGTCTGGCCTGTCTCCGGCTCTCCGCACCTTTTAACTAATTATATTATTTGGGAGATGGTATTTTATGGTATTAAATCTTTCTCTTGTTTTTTTAATATTAAGAGAATTTAAATTTGAGAGACTATTTTATATTTTTTTTACCTTTTTATCATCGAAACACTCAATGGTGATTATTTGTATATAGTTTTACGCTATTTCTATGAGTATATGATCAAGTTATTAGGCCAAAATGTTGCTACATCTCCGTAAATTCTTCCATTAACATTTCAAATTGTAACACCGTGGTGTTTATGGAAAGACATTATATTATTTGTCACTAATATAGTTTCAATCTTAATCATTTCAATTTAATTTCAGTTTTGTATTATAAATTGAAAAATAGTATCATATTATTTGGAGCAATGTTTTAATAACCAACTCAAGGTGAAACCTGAAAAATTCAGCAAATACACCCCTAAAAATTATCTTAATTCCTATAGGTTTGAATTTAGCAAAAACACCCATAAATACAAATAGCGATCGCTAGTTGCAGCAGCACACTCGCAGATGCAATCTCAATCATCCATTGAGTCAATTTCCCATAAAATCTACCCAAGATTTGATGAAATCAGTTCGATTTTGGCCAAATCTCACCAACATTGATTTTGACTTTCCAAGTTAGAGCTCACCATGGTGTCGCCGGAACAACCCCCCCCCCCCCTCCCCATCATCCCGAAAATACTTGCCTCTACCTTCCAACCAAAACCCACTTCATCCCACCCCATTAGCCTCGCCAATCGTCGGCAAAAGCCAATTGTTACTACCGCCAATTTTTTTCGCTTTCTGGTCGATTCACTCATCAGAAATCAACTCCGTCGCCACCATTGTACTGATCGACACTTTCTTTTTAAAAACCCAAATAGTTCAGCTTTCAATTATTTGCCGATCATCATCTTAAATTCTAGGGTTTTGGGTAAATAAGAAAATTGTTAACCTGACCTGGTGAAGCTCCTGGGTCGCGATTTAACCGGCTAGGTTTCGAAAGTTATATATGTTTGAAAGTTAAATATCATGGACTAAGAAAAATATCTTTTTTGTAGTTTCTTTTCACTATTTTCATTTTTCTATTTCTTTTTTGGATAAATATATCTGGGCTTCCATTTTGATATCTAAAATTAGAGATGGGTATTGAACATATAGGATCCAAAATAAATCATTTTAGTTGTGTTAATCAAATAGTCAACATAGAATAAACATAAACATGTTCAGTGTTTAAATCAATATCTGCGAGTTTGATACATAAACATGTTTCTTCTATGTTCAAAACTAAAATGGGTGAATGATTAAACAAATGAAAATATTTTTATTTACATACACGTAATGACGTGGGTCATATGGGTTAAGCAGAGCTGGGCCAGGATTCGTCTGTGGGCCGAGCCCAAGGAAGTTCATCTTGGTCGGATGACTGACTCACATGTTGTATCTCGGTCAATACTAAATTATCATTAAGATATTATAATGATACACTCAATTTCAACGTTTGGATCATATAATATTTTATTATATTAATAGAAAAAAGATCACCTTGAAAATTATTGGAAATATTTTGAAAATGTGTTTGGTTGGTTCGAATAAATTGGTTAATAATATGTTTGATTGGGAGGATAAATATGTGAGTATGTTATATAGATTATTAAATTGCCCTTTGTTTTAAATATTAATATAATAGTATTTGTTATTATTATTTTTTTAATAATTTCTTTTAATCCCCTACATGTGAAATTTTGCTAAAACACCACATCCATATAAAACTTTAATTTGTAGCAAAATCACCCTCATCCACCCAAGCCACTGCCGATAGCCATTCACTACCACCGGCTGCCGTTGGTAGTTGATGGAATGGCGCATGACTGGCCGGCCGTATATGGTTGGTTGTGCGCCGGCAAAGCCGAAAATAGCCATGGATCACAAATCCACGGCCGAAAAACGGTCAGATCTATGGTCATTTCACGACTATAGAAACGTCAAATCTAACCGTTTCCGACCATGGATCCGAAAGACTAGTCAGATCGTACTGGTTGTGCACCATTAAGGCGACTGACGCTGGTGGCCGACGGTGGTCTTGGGTAGTTGAGAGTATTTTGTAAACTTTAAATTTTTTTTGTGACTGAGGTGTTTTAGCTAATTTCTCAAATGCAGGATGTCTTGGTAATTGTTATTTGGTAGACATTTAAGGGTAATTATGTGTGAAATGATTTTTAATTAAAGGCAAAATGGGTAGAAAAATCAGATTACCCAGTAATGTTTTAATAGCACCTCCTAACAAGGTAATAAGATTACCTCCTCATATTCTCAACACTAAACTCTATTAGCAATAAAAGATTAACACAATATTTTATTACTTGTAAACCAAACACCAGAATCTTTCAAAATAAACGAAGATTGCCCCCATTATCTTATATACTCCCGATCCAAATAACACCTTAGTGTTATATTACTAAAGCATATTGTACATTACCGAAATAATAGCCGTATCCATACCTAATTGTTGGAAAAAACCTTTGAAATAGATTAAGAGCAAAGCCAAAAAATAGGGTGACGGCTGATATTTTAGTCCCACAAACATCTTTTTCATTGATCTTGCCAAAAATGAGAGGCCCTACTCATTCCAAGTTTCTTTTTTAAAACCATTTTACACATCAAATTAAAGCCTCTCATTCACCAAAATATCATTCAACTCTTCAAGTGGAAATTCCTTATCTCACCTCTTCTCGTGTACGTCTATGCTACAGCGACGTTTTCGGTACTCTTGATATTTTAATCAACCAAAAAACGACAACGTAACAGCAAGGGGCAAATAAGGTACATCAACTAAAACTATAAGGATATTTAGGGAACCGACTTTGTTTTGACCTGCAGCTAAGACTAATGGCTCCAGAATAACTTAGACGTGGCAGAATCAGACGAATACAATTCAAAATCAAAACCGACTATTTAAATCAAACGGTGGATAAAGGAAGACATAATGTAGTCTAGCTAACACACAAATTAAAAGTCTGACACCGCTTCTTATATACACTACATCTATCTATCCCATCATCTTCGGCCGACCTTAAAGAAGGGTCTCTTTTTCTCTCTTTCGTTTAGTTTCCTTTTCACTTCTTATTCTTCTTCCCTTCTTATTATTACTAATCAACCAAAAACAAATACAATTATTTAGGTCAGTTTAATTTTTTGTTTCGAAATGATTTTTTTTTTTCTGATTTCGTTTGTCTATTATCCGCTTTTTGTTGTTAATTTAGGAATTTTTAGTTCCTTTTTGTAAGTCGTTTTTGAGAAATCTGAGTTCTGATTGAATGGTGGTTGAGCTATTTGAATTGCTTTATTATTATTTTTTAATAGCGATTTTTGATAGGGAATTAAACTGTTATTGAGTGGCTGTTAATAATTTATTCATTACGATTTTGTTGACATTTGCTCGTTAGTTGTTATTATAATTTCAATTGGTTTATCGGCTGACTTGTAAAGTGAAGCTGTTGAGTTTCAAAAGGCATTTTCTTGTCAAAATGAGTTTCGATAGTAATTAATTTAATTTAGGGCTTTCGTTTTTTTTGGTGTTCTAATAGTAATGAATGTTCTGTATGTAATTTATGATTCTGTGTCTAGTTATTGGTTAGAAACTGTGGTGGATTGGATGGTTCATTGAATTTCTTTTGCTGAGATAAGGTACTGATGATGATAAATAAAGATTATTATTTTTCACATTTTACTTTGATTGGAATAACTAGTTTGAAAACTTTGGTGTGGGGCTCAAAAATCATCTGCTTTCTTTGTTACTCATTGTGTAGACAATTCAGGCTATAATATTTTGGTGGACAACGTTAGTTTTCGTCTGATGAATTCGTTTGGGGGCCGGGGGGATGATACTAACTGAAATGTTGTGGCAAAATGCAGATTACTTAGTGGACACCATGGCGAGGGTTCTAGTACACGTAGCTAATATCCCTGCCTTGGTTCCTCCTGGTAGAAGGCTTGGTCAGTCTCAAGAATCTTGGAAGTCAAGAAGGAATGTCAGAATGATGAGCTGTTTACAAGCACCTGTGTTAAGAATGAGAAATTTTTCGGGGTTGCGAGGCTCTAATGCTTTAGATACCCTGGCAAAACGTGGCATAAGTTTCCACTCCAGGGTGGGAATTTCACTCTCTTCTGGTCGAAGGAGGACTGGCCGAATGGTTGTTAAAGCAATGTTTGAGCGCTTCACAGAAAAAGCAATTAAAGTCATCATGCTTGCCCAAGAGGAAGCAAGACGGCTTGGTCACAATTTTGTTGGCACAGAGCAGATTCTCTTGGGTCTTATTGGTGAAGGTACTGGCATTGCTGCGAAGGTTCTCAAATCAATGGGAATCAATCTTAAAGATGCACGTGTAGAGGTGGAGAAGATAATTGGAAGGGGAAGTGGTTTTGTCGCTGTGGAAATTCCATTTACTCCTCGTGCAAAGCGGGTTTTGGAACTCTCTCTGGAGGAAGCCCGTCAATTGGGTAGTGTAACTTTACCTCTCCCCTTTCTAGTGATGCCTTTTACTTTTGATTTAGGTTATTTTGGAAAGTGTTTCTTAGTTAACTGGTTTTTATTCATTTTGAATTTATTTCAAGCCTGGCTTTTTGCACGTCTGACCTAATTTTGAGGTATTTCGATATGTAACCTATGCCTTAACTAGGATAAGCTGGAAGTGGAACTTCCAGATATATATTATCTTTTGGTTTACATCCTTGTTTGTCTAGATTGCATTGGGATCAAATATATAGAGCCAATTTAACTTGTATATCCATCTCCATAATGTATCAAAATCATTTAAATTTGATGAGATATTTATAATGATATGATTAGTGTGTTGAATTTGACTTGGCCTGCTTTCCTTGAGCTTGAAATTAATAATCCAACTAGTTATGGACTTAACTATATTATAGTTACATATTTCTTCCATTTGGTTCTAATGAACTTGTCAGAGCCTTAAATCAACACAAATACTTTATGTTTCCACTTTGGTAGCGTATCTGTATATGCATTTGTTTTGCTTATCGTGAATAAGTATCAGCTTGCAGAATAAATTAATGTCTTATCTTTGAACGTGAAATAGATTTTTGTGGCTGCTGACAAATCTGCATTATTGAAAATATCAGGCCATAACTATATTGGATCAGAGCACCTGCTACTTGGGCTTCTTCGTGAAGGGGAAGGTGTAGCAGCCCGTGTTCTTGAGAATTTAGGTGCTGACCCAAGTAACATACGCACACAGGCAAGTGGCACTTATAGATTACATGTTAACCTTGTTTTGTTTCTTTTATGGAATCTTTGATTGTTATCTCTGTTAACAATTAAAATAATTAATTTTGATATGCTTTTCATTGGAGTGAGCAGGTTATTCGAATGGTTGGTGAGAGCACAGAAGCTGTTGGTGCTGGTGTTGGAGGAGGAAGCAGTGGCAATAAGATGCCAACGCTGGAGGAGTATGGAACTAATTTGACCAAGTTAGCAGAAGAGGTAAAATGCAGTTACTGTAGTCCCCTGTTCTGCATATACTTTGAAATTTGCTGCTTCTTTGAAGACATGTTAATCCTAGTTATTTTTTTCTTCAGGGTAAATTGGATCCTGTTGTTGGAAGACAGCCACAAATAGAACGTGTTATCCAAATTTTGGGCCGTCGAACTAAGAACAACCCATGTCTTATTGGAGAACCTGGTGTGGGTAAAACAGCTATTGCAGAAGGCCTAGCTCAACGAATTGCAAGTGGTGACACTCCTGATACAATTGAAGGAAAGAAGGTGGGTTTAACTTCAGAGTGCTTAGCAACTTAGAATTGTTCATGTGTGTGTATAAACCATCTGCTGCCTTGTTTCTGAACTTATTGAAGTATCATTGATTATTCTTATAATGAATTTCATACTTCGCGATTATGTGATATAAGTGGTTGGTTAACTGTGTCACTAAGAGGTTTGTGTATGTTGAATTTATGTATGAGTAAAAGTGAAAGATGTTGCCAGATGGATATCTGGTAATTGTGCCATTCAGAATTTGGTACTTTTAATGCTAAAATATGTTGGCCGTGAAGATGCAAAAGTAGAAGTACAATTCTTAACATTTGTGTATATGCATGTGAAATTGTGTGGAGAAAATGACTTGGCTTTTTTTTTTTTTTTTCAATAAAATGAATTGGATATGGCAACTATAAAATGCAGGCAGTTTAGCTGTTTCGATGTATACTGTTGAGTGGATGTTTCTTTTGTTCATCATCTTTGTAGATGAATTGGACTTTCTTATTTCAAACATTTTATTTTCATTTACCATGGAAAATACTTTGATATGCTTTTTCTGTAATATGGAGCTTAATGAATTAGAGTTGTGTGTTTTTTTTTTTTTTTTTGGGTATATGGGTTATACCTAATGTTAAAGATAACATGTCCAGTTATGTCCCTGGTTTAATGGCTTTGAATTAAATCATTGAGATGACCAATCTGAAGATCTTCAATTTCTTAATCCTCATGACATGTTTTCATCTCTGTGCATTCTTATGACTAAAATATATACGGAACACTAGTTTGTAAAAAATGGATGCTATAATGGAGCATTATTATTTTATTGAGCTTTAGGTTATAACCCTGGATATGGGTCTTCTTGTTGCTGGGACAAAATATCGTGGAGAGTTTGAAGAAAGGTTGAAGAAACTAATGGAGGAAATCAAGCAGAGTGATGAAATAATCCTTTTCATTGATGAGGTCCACACCTTAATTGGAGCCGGAGCAGCAGAAGGGGCAATTGATGCTGCTAACATCTTAAAGCCAGCTCTTGCAAGAGGAGAATTGCAGGTAACTTTGACAGATGCATGCAATTCATAAGTTCATAGACTTTTCTGCTTTCCATAGTTGCTCATGAGAAAAAGAGGTAGTTCCTTTGGATAATTGTGTGCAGTGCTGGCTGGTTGGTTCTAAATGTTAATTTATATATGATGGAATTCTATGCTTTTGTTGGCATTTCTGTTTCTAGGCTTGTCTTGATACCTATCATTTGATATGTTGAGAAGGGTGTTTCTTGTATGGAAGTTGAGACACAACATGATGGAATTCTATGTTTTTGTTGGCATTTCTGTTTCTAGGCTTACCTTTATACCTGTCATTTGATATGTTGAGAAGTGTGTTTCTTGTGTGGAAGTTTAGACACAACTGCAGCATTTTAGATTGTGGTGTTAACGTTATGTGCTTTTGGTTGAGCCTTTGGTTACATTTTTTTTATTACCTTGGATTATGAGTTTCTATAGGTGATGCATGTATGATCTTGTTATTTTGAATTGAATTAGTTTTTTTGTTTGAACTGTCAGAATCTTGTTCCAAAGATATAGTAAATTGTTGATACTGACTTCCTTGTGTACCATTCAGAAAGAGAGAGGGAATTTTGATTTCAATTCTTAATGGAAACACAAGGAGATTGGGTTATAATTAACAGTTCAGCTGCAACTGATGGTCTTTTCTTGGCCGTCTGTGAGCCGATTATACATTTGATATCTGCTGAGTAGTTTCTGATTAACTCTACTTGGTGCAGTGTATTGGAGCCACGACACTAGATGAGTACAGAAAGCACATTGAGAAGGACCCGGCATTGGAAAGTCGTTTTCAGCCTGTTAAAGTTCCTGAACCATCAGTTGATGAAACTATTCAGATTTTGAAAGGACTCCGAGAGCGATATGAGATTCACCACAAACTTCGTTACACTGATGAAGCACTAGTTTCTGCTGCACATCTGTCATACCAATACATCAGGTTTGTTGTACGAAATATAGTTCATCTATAATTTCTCCTGCCTTGGTGCTGTGAGATGTAATTCATTTCCCGGTTGGCATGTTCTGAAACGTCCGGTAAATAAATACTTGGGGAAAGGGACTAGTGAGCTGTTGACATTATCTATGCTATGCTGAAACTTCAATTGTGTTTGAAAATTCTATCTCATTGTGAAATATAGTTGAAAACAGCAAAATGACCAAACAGGTATATGATGAAAGCTTAATACAAAACTAACAGCCCTTTGAAGATGCCAACTGAGTCCAATAATAAACTGCTGTGTTGCATTGGTACTGTTGTAAATGGTATTTTTGTGGAAGCTGAGGAGATGATTGTGTGTTGTCTTCCTGCTGGTTTATATGATAGTATAAACATATAGAGGGAAAAAAAAAAAAAATGTTGTATCCTAAACGATTGGTATTGCTCTGAACTTTTCAGTGATCGCTTTCTGCCTGATAAAGCAATTGATTTGATTGATGAAGCTGGTTCTCGAGTTCGGCTTCGTCATGCTCAGGTATGAACTGATATTCTAGATTTGCCACTGTCTGCCATGTCTTGTCCTACCTCACTTATTAATTTGATACTCACATGGTTGTTGCTGCAGCTCCCTGAGGAAGCTAGAGAGCTTGAAAAAGAGCTTAGGCAGATCACTAAGGAGAAAAATGAAGCTGTTCGTGGCCAAGACTTTGAAAAGGTACAATCCAGAATTTTTGCTGTTGATACGCTTTGTTTTATTTTCATAATTTGAGTTTTATGAGACCATGCATGTAAACTGTGCGATGAGTTTTGAAGTAAATGGATCCTAAAATTGTTCTTCCAGAGCTTAGGGTTTGTTAACATGTGCAAATTGAATTGTTATTTGGCAGTTCATATTTTTTTTCTTCTTAGTGCTTGTTGCCATCCAGTATAAAATGTTTGATAGCTATTAATAGTGTTGGACTATTTTGGTTTGCCCACTTCTCTATTTAGCCAGTGTATAATACCTATAATTTTTTAAACAGGCTGGGGAGTTACGTGATAGAGAAATGGACCTTAAGGCTCAGATCACAGCCCTTGTTGATAAAGGTAAGGAGATGAGTAAGGCAGAGACTGAAGCAGGCGATGTGGGTCCTATTGTAACTGAAGTGGACATTCAACACATTGTCTCTTCGTGGACTGGCATTCCTGTTGAGAAAGTATCAACTGATGAATCTGATCGACTACTCAAGATGGAAGAGACCCTCCATAAGCGAGTCATTGGCCAGGATGAAGCTGTCAAAGCTATTAGCCGTGCCATCCGCCGTGCTCGTGTTGGACTAAAGAACCCTAACCGACCAATTGCTAGTTTCATCTTTTCTGGTCCTACTGGTGTAGGGAAGTCAGAACTGGCAAAAGCACTTGCTGCTTATTACTTTGGCTCTGAAGAAGCCATGATTAGGCTTGATATGAGTGAGTTCATGGAAAGACACACAGTCTCCAAGCTCATTGGTTCTCCCCCTGGTTATGTGGGTTACACTGAGGGTGGTCAGTTGACTGAGGCTGTTCGACGTCGTCCATACACTGTAGTACTCTTTGATGAGATTGAAAAGGCTCATCCTGATGTTTTCAACATGATGCTTCAGATTCTTGAGGATGGAAGGTTGACAGACAGCAAGGGAAGAACTGTAGATTTCAAAAATACCCTTCTAATTATGACATCAAATGTTGGTAGCAGTGTTATTGAGAAGGGAGGACGTCGCATAGGATTTGATCTTGATTATGATGAGAAGGACAGCAGTTATAACAGGATCAAAAGTCTGGTGACAGAAGAATTGAAGCAATATTTCAGGCCCGAGTTCTTGAATAGGTTGGACGAGATGATTGTTTTCCGGCAGCTCACTAAGCTGGAGGTAAAAGAAATTGCTGATATAATGCTGAGGGAAGTGTTTGATAGATTGAAGACAAAAGAGATAGAGCTTCAAGTTACTGAGAGATTTAGAGAGAGGGTGGTTGAGGAAGGGTACAACCCAAGTTATGGTGCTAGGCCTTTGAGAAGAGCAATTATGAGACTTTTGGAGGACAGCATGGCTGAGAAGATGCTTGCAAGAGAAATTAAAGAGGGTGATTCGGTCATTGTGGATGTGGATTCGGATGGAAACGTTACTGTGCTCAATGGCAGCAGCGGTGCTGCTCCTGAGTCATTGCCTGACCCACTTCCAGTGGTGTAACCCTCTATTTGATTTGTTGTTTGTACCCTTTTTTTAGTCTATTTGAACTGGCTATATAATCGTAGTCTATTTTCTTGGAAGGACCACTGGGCAGTTGAATTGGAAGCTGTTGAATTATTGGTGGTGGGTTTACAAAGCTGAATTTGTTTACACCATGAGTAGCATACACAATTGAGTTGCAGATAATAGTAGGGTGTTTTAGTGTTAGCTTTATATTATTTTTCTTAATAAAAAATGTAATGATGAATTATGATTCGGCTGGTTTATCTGCTGTGAATTACTTATGAATATTATTTAATGCGATTGTATACTACTGATGCTATGGTCAAGACCCTATAAAGTTGGTGATGCATTGCTTGCTTTCAGGAAATTGCCACGGTGTAGACTTTATAAGTCTGGTTCAACCCCAAAAGGTGGTGTGACTGGAGAGTGTATCTAAGGGCCAGTTGAGAGAGGGTGGCGTATTGTTGTCCTAGTACACAACTATCATATTTTGGGAATAAGCCAAATTTTGAACCCCTGGCTACACATAATATGCTTCCTGGTTGAAGGTCACTTTTAACTATAAGTGATGTTTAGCGAGATTTGGGAAACTAATCACACGCCCACACCGTGAGACTGCGTTTATATCATATTCCCATTGACCATCTTTGACTCTTTAAAAACCATTTTTACCCTTCTTATAAATAAGGAATCACGACATTTTTTATACAACTGGATTAAAATATATTCTTTTTCAATATATAAAATTTATTTTACAAAAATTATAACATGTTTAAGAATATAAAAACTCATACATGATAAAATAAAAGTATTAATATACAGTATTCAGACTGAAATTGAAATCCTACATCAATTTGTTTGTTTTTTTTTCCATTAACAAGTAGATTTTTAGTGTCACTTTAATAAATTCTTAAGGAAAAACCTGAATAACCCAATTGATTTAGACTGAACTATTAATTAAAAAAAAAAAAGGTCCCGCAAAATCCAATATAAAATCCGATAGAAGCGAAATCTGGTGACAATGGCTGAATCAAGGAGTAGGGATCACCAACGACCGTCAAGTCACCAGTTAAATTTTAGATTGATTTAGGAAATGTTTGGTTCAAGGTCTGATTAGGGCATTGGGCATTTTTGGTTTGATTGAAGATTTTAGTTTTGATTTTTTTATTCTTCTTCAAGTGTTAATTGACTGATATACCCTGAATTCGTTAAAGTTAACGGCTGAAAACCAACTGTGTGGGTGGCGACGTTAGTTTCCATGAGCTGGGTGTAAGACGGTAACGTAATTAGCTCATATTAACATTTAATGATTAGACAATATATATATATATATATATAAATAGTCTGGAGAAACTAATTTTATTCCGCTGTTAATTTATCAATTTCATTAATAAAAATACATATAATAATGTGATATTGTGAGAATAAACTAGTTCAATTGCTCTGATCTACCGGAATTACACATAAGGTGTTGCGGACTGAAGCCCAGTTACAGTATTTGACTTGTTGAATACCCTATTTGATTTTCTAACTTTCAAAAGTTAATATACATGAGTTTGTATTCTTTCATTTAAGACTATGTTTGCTGTTTCGGCCCCCAAGACAATGCCACAACGACGTTTTGAGAATGCAGTAATAGCCAAAAGGTATTCTTACTCATCCATAAGGGAATTAGATTCTCTTTGTGTAGGACTCACACTCCCACTTCTGCTTATTTTAAGTGCATCTAACGCCTTCTGTATCTCCATATTCATGGCACTGTCCACGCTTCCCGATGATAGCTTCTTGTGTGCTTTCTGCAAATGAAGCTTAAGTGAGCTGCTGCTCAGACCAGCATTTTTCCCACATACCGGACACACTTTCATCATTGGCTTCCGCTGTTGCCATTCCATTGAGACTTTCCCATGCAGTTCCTTGTCTAGATCCAGTAGAATCCTTGCAAACCCATCGTTGGGCTGGGCTCGGCGATGAGCTCGTTTTAGGTTGTTCCATGCTTCTAATAGTGTAAAGTTTCTGCAACACAGATCATGAAATACCATATTTAAAGAAAGAATGTGTTCAAGATATATTTAAAGAAAGAACGTGTTCAAGATACGTGATATCTACTGGCGGTTCCTTAGCGGCATGCGTGCAATTTGGACCTCACAAATCAGATTTGTTCTGGCATGTAAATTTTAATTCACTTACTTTCTGAGCATTAAGTATGCCATCACCAGTGTTGCACTTCTACTTCTTCCTTCAAAGCAGTGCACTAGAACCCTCCCGCCAATTTGTTCAACATGATCAATAAAATCTGAAGCTTCTTCAAAGATACTGGTGATGTTTGTATCCTCATGGTCACTAATCTGTTCAAAGTGAGCAAATAATGTATCAATGAAAAAAAAATTCCAAACAAATCCGGGATATTAGAACTTCTACAGAGTTGTTGTCTACATTCTATAATGCCTAGTTATTGGGATCTTAGAGACAAGTCATCATGAACGTCTATACTCTATACCACTAAATTAAACAAGGAATGGTTAACATTGGCTTAAAGTATCTTCCAAAACATAGTTGTACCAGTATTATCAATACCAATAAAAGGAAAACAAGGTGTCAAGAGCATAACAGAGGCAAGCTATTAGGTTTTGTAGAAGGATAGAAAAGCATATATGAAGTTTTGAAAACATGTTTCACATGGTCAAGTAAAAGAAAGGGTAGTGCTACTATTGATCTCTCTTTTGCGTCACTTGCAGTGAGATAAAGAGAGAACTTCCTAGGGGTGGGCAAAATTTTAGGGTAGAACCGGAACCGACGGGTACCCGGGTGTCGGTTCTGATTCCTACCCAGAACCGGTCGTAACAGGGTAGATTCCAATTCCAAAAAATTGGAACCAATACTGTGCGGTTCCGATTCTAAATCAAAGGAACCGAAGCTAGAACCAGGACTAAATTAATATAATATTAAAGGATAGAAGGTTTTTTGATATTTTGTATATGGGGGGGGAGGGCTTAATATTTTGCATATCATATAAATATATAAGAAAATTTTGGTTTTTTTTTTTTTTTTAATCTTATTATCAAAAGTCTTATTAATTTTCATTAAAAGATCAGTTTTTCAAAATATTCTTATTAATATTTAAATTTCACTTATTACTTGATTAAAAAATTAATATACATTAAGACATTTACGTTAAATAATAGCTTTCAAATGTTTATTATCGGTGAAAACAAACAATTAAATACTTATAATCAAGCATCAAACATCAAGTAAATATGAACAAATATATTATTTAATGTTTTGCACTTAATTGTTAGGGGTGTAATTGTAATTTTATAAAAGTTTATTTGTCATTTAAAAAAAAAATAGGAGGGTAATTAACATTTTCCAGGGTACTGGAACCGGAACTGGAACCTGTGTTACAGGTTCTAGTTCCAAGTTTTTAGGACGGTTCTAGTTCCGGTTCCAAATCAAAGGAACCGGCTGGTTCCGGTTCTAGTTCCTTTGATTTTGGGCGGGTACCAGGACCTGCCCACCCCTATAACTTCCCATGTTCATGTATGATTTCTAGAGAATTGAGATCTGCAGAAACCATGCACGGCTTCTGTCAGATATATAAAGCAAATGAGAAACACACTGTAAAAGCAAATTAACTGACACCGGAAATAGAGAATTAGGAAAGAAGCACTTACAGAAAAATTTTTGTACTCAAATAGATCTGGATACTGAGAATCTGACTGTCCGATTTCATTGGAGCATAAACACAATATATGAGTAATACCTAAATGTTTCAGCGTGTAAACAGATCTTGCAGCCAGGGCTCCGCCAATGAACAGCCTACCTGTAACTGAAGATGGCTTCTCTGTATTTGCAGCCTCAGATATAAATGTTATCCTCTCAAGAATGTGCTCAAGTCTGACCTGTAAGTTGCAAAGCAGATGAAAAAGGAGATTAGGAGGAAAAACAAATTTCTGAATAAAATACAAAAGGATTCTGCATCATATAAAATTGAATCCCAGTAGTTTAGTAAAACTATTACCTTCAATTCATATGCATCAACAACACTGTTATGATCACTACCTTCAAAGAACCCTGAATTAAAATTGTTTTCCATGCAGAGTTTAACAGCATCATTTTTCAGCATTTCGTTCCATTGTTCCAATTCTTTACTTGATTCAGCATCAACCTGAGCAAGATCATTGTAACAGTACACAATAAGACATGAGGAAGAAAAAATTTCATCTCAAGTAAAGCCTCTTTTACAATTACTATACCGAAATACAACACAGCATAAAAAAACCAAAAAATAATTCCTTAACAAACATCTGACTTATCAAAAAGGAAAGGAAGGAAAACAAAAGACGGGCAAACTAATTAGTCATCATACCTATTTACAAATTTCTCTCATAAGACAGTCCACAAAAAGAACTCTCATAAAAAGCAAATGAAACTGTAAGCCAGAAATTGTGACTCCTTATGATCTACCAGCAACAACTACCCAACTCACAAATGCAAACTTTCTGTATCATGCTAGACAATGTAATCAGATCAATGTCACTGTAGTAGAACAGATGCACAGATCAGCAGCAAAAAAATTAATTTGTATATGTTCTGAAAGTTATTATTGTAAACTGCTACTTTCAGAATAACTGCATATGATGTATAAAATAACAATTTATTTCATTTAAAAGAATAACCTTGGCCCATTTATGGAAATCACGGAGTTTTGCTGTCAAACGGAGACTACGATCTCCACTCCCCTTGTGAAACTTTCCATGCCATCCCTCTCGTGACATGGGGGAAGTAGAGTCTGAACTTTCTTTAGATGATGACCTTGGAGCTGTTTTTTGCAATTCTGTATCACTATATTCTGGATTGCTATCATTAAAGCACCGCTCCTTGCTTGATGGAGATAGAAAATGGACAACTGCAGGAGGATTTGAAGGTGATTCAGGGACCACACATTCATCCTTGTCATAATCCCCAGAAGTCTTATTTATGATATTCAAAAATGCTCGTAACAGGCCATCCAGTTTTTGGTGAAGTGTAAGCAGGAATATATGAAATCCTTGAAGATCTCTGAGAGCAGCACGGAACCCACTGCGAAATTCATGAGCAACTGAATTCATTTCAGCCACCTGCACATCAGTTGTCTCAGCATCTTCTAACGAAGGGGATCCCAACTTCCCTCCTGTTATGTCACGTAACAGATTAGAGGAGTACTCAGAACTGTTGAGAAGTAACTCGACCAACTTAGGATAATTTGCCTGGTCATTTGCACGTTTTCCTGCAGGAGGACGGCGAGGGACAACAGAGTCAATAGCCACAATATGAACTTCAGCACCAGTTGATTCATCTAATGTTTGACTTCTTCGGCTCATTTCACTAGATTTTGGAGATTCTATGATATCAGAAAGATCTGAACTCTGTGATACCAATCCTGGATTATGAGCATTCAATCTGCAATCTATTGAAGTGGCCCTTCGGTCCTTTTGAAGAGCTCTAAGCACTCTTGGTCGATATCTCTTAATAGCAGAATCAAACGCTTCCTCCAGTGCATCCATACTTACAGAAGCCATTTTGTCTGCCAACAACAGATTTGCAGGATTTCCGCGCCATCTGAGTTCACGGCAAGGGAGTCTATCTTCATTTCTAATGACAAGGTCCAACATCAAGATCCTGCCAAGAGCTGCTGCAGTCTTTGCTGCAGTTTCCCTTGATTCAAATGCATTTGAGCTTTCCAACAAAGGAGATCCATGAACATAACTGCAAACACAGAAAACCTTGATCTTAAGAGTGCCAACCTAAAGAATAAATAATAGTCTCTAAAGAAACTTATACAGCAAATCAAATATCCTACTTGGTCCGCCAGTTGTTGCCTATAATGTATGACTAATGAGAAATTAATCTAGACATATGTTATGTTCTTCTTGGTCTTGCATCCATGGTCCTAGAAGAAAACTAAAGGTAAGCACCTTGAAGAACTTTAAACTAACGAACAGAGTAAAAGTACCTTCTCACAGCCTCAAAGGTACTAGTGAACTGAGTCACTTGACCCAATCTTATGTCACTAAACTTTCCAATAGTACAGAAAGCTACAGGATGGTTTAAGGACCCTAATGTCCATGAGAACTAAATTTCAACAGATAAGAACAAATACAGGTACACAAACCAAGTGAATGTCCATTTTCACCTTGTTCTATCTGTCAAGTATAAAGAAAGAACCAAAAGGAGCACAACAAGATATTGCGTTCTCACAACTCATTCACTTAATTTTCGTGTTCACCTCATAAAGAGAAGGCATCGACTAAGTTCAAGTGCTTCCAGAAGTTCAGTACAAGTCATTTCACCAATCTCGTCTCCTTCTGAGGTTGCTGTAGCTCTTGCTTTTTCTGCAGCTTCCCTTATCTGGAGCCACTCTGGATTACAATTGTGAATTACTCTAGCCTGTTACAATAGAACAACTTACAAATGAAATGATATAAAGTAAGTTCTAATAGAGTAAAGGTCGGGACATATCGCCTAAGCTGACGGAAACAAAAAGTACAAATTTATAACCTGAGGAGTTCTGACTCCCAGCCACTTGGCAAGTTCATAGCCAAGGCGTTCTGATTGGGTGGCCATCCTTGAAGACGAGAACTTTATAACAGCTGCAGCTTCGTTTAGAGGAAAATCATCAAAACTGAGCTGGTTGAATAACGCAAAGAAAACAACTCCCCCAGAATTTACAGTAACCTACATGCACACAACAGAAGAAAATTTGAGGCAGCAAATGAGAAGATAACCAGAGATGAATTCGTTTACTCAGATTCCTACATTAGGTGGGCATCATGTCATCACTATTGCAAAAAAAGAATAATCAAGCACATGATATACAGATTCAAGTAACTAAAATTAAAAAGATCTTAAAAGTAACTTTGTTGTTCGCATCCCTCTTCCCTTTCCCTTCAACTAAAATAATAGAATTTTGAACTAAATTTGAAGTTAATAGTGTCATTCCATCCAATCTGGTTAGAATAATTCACAAACCTCAAGGGCTTTATTCAGTTCATCCTCAGACTGCTCAGTGCTGCTACCATGCTCAGTGTGATGAAGTGAAGAAAGCATATCCCAAGAAAAAGAGCTTGACTCGATATCCAACATACCGGCTTTCCCTAGTTTTTCCCACAAATTGATTTCCGAAGCTTGCTCAGCTTGCAAAGGACCTTTAGAATCACTTGGTGATTCTCCTGCACTGAACAGAAACCAAAAATGATATAACAAAAACCATTGAGGGCTAAATTTGATAGTACGTGGTATCTCTTTTTGCTGCAATTTGAAATTGCATTTGACAGTAACACTAACGTAAAAATATGGCAAAACACATTTGATCAAAAATCATAAACCAGTCTAATCACTTAATAGGACAAGATACCTTCAATTTTTTATACCCAGTAACAAATTTCATCCCACTCTTTTATGTGTCATTAACGAGGGCTTTTATCCATAATTTTCTAAACAATTAAGCAGCATCCAAATCACATCCACAAAACTTAGCTTCCCCACACATTAAATAATGATCAGTACTCGGAAGTAATTTCTTAGCATTAAAGCATTTTCTTAAAGGTAAGACAAAACCATATAATTGCAAAGTAATTAAAGAAAAGTAGAGAGAAATAAAGACCTAAAAGGCATAGTGTGAAGCCTATGAAGGCGGCGAGGGAAGCCGGAGGAACGGTACTTGCCGCTACGTTTACGAACAAGTTCCAACCATTGGGTGAACCGATATGCCGGTCCAGCAGTAATGTCTCCCAACATATACAACACCTGCATTGTTTTTCATTCACATCAATAATATGTTTCTCTTATAAAATCTCAATGGAAACTTTAAAAGAAAATAAAATAAAATAACCCGCGAAGTCACGGTGAGGGGCAATGGTGGCTCAAGTTCGTCAGATCCGAAGTCCAGGTCTTTCTCTTCCTGCATGTACAGTTATGATCCAACAATGTGAGTGAATCAACATAATTCCAGTTGGAGATTGAAACTGACATAAATATGAGTCAAATAGTGAAAAATTGTTTTAAAAAAAAGAAAAGTAATTGAAAATACTACATGACCCTGGTGCTGGGCAGAGTTGATGATGCTTGTAGGTGGTGGTTCCTTCAACTCCCTGGCCATTTTCTTTTTTTGAAAGGGGACGACTGGGACTCAATTATAGAGATTAGAGAAAAGAGAGAGAGGAAAGAGAGAGAGATTGCTTTTTTTAGAAATGACTAATGGGAGTATTTAAAACAGAAAGAAGGGGAGGGAGTCAGAGGTGGCGCTTTTTGAGGTGGGATTAGACGTGCTTGATTGGTTTAGTTTAGAAGCAATTAAAGTGTTATTTGAGGTTTTTCCTTTTGTTACAGTGAAATGAGAGTTGAGTAGGGGTCTGGTCGGTTTGCCGGGAATCAAAACGGTGGTTGTCTATGTAATGATGCATTCACAACTCACAAGAGCCAGTTTGAGTTATTCAGTCACGCTCACGGCTCACATGACGCCAAGGGATTGGTTTATTGAGAAAGCTTCATATTCGTCTTCCTGTCAACTTGAGACACGCGCGTCTGCAAAAGCGGACCCAGGTTTTTATTAAAAACAATTTTTTTTTTTTCAAATTTATATAGTTTTACTTTTAATATAACATAAATTTTCGATACCCACTATAATCTAATCTAGCAACGGCTAATTGGAATAAAATATCCCGTCCGAAATCTACTCATAAATTTCCTCCCTATTTTTGTAAGTGTTAAAAGAATTCAAAACTCAACATTCATTTCTTTTAACATGCCTGACATGATGTTAATGAGACGATGTTAAGGGGGTGTTTGTCTGAGCTTATAAAAATTAGCTTATAAGTAATAATTGCTTATAAGCTAAAATTAACTTATAAGCATTTGAAATTTTAAGCAATTACGTGTTTGATTAAAGTACTTATAAGTGACTGATAAGTAATTGACGTGTTTGGTAAAATGTGGCTTATAAGTACATTTTATTATAAAATTACTAAAAAATGTATTACATTAAATAAAGGCACACTATAGAATTTTAAAATTAAATAAGGATAATGTGGTAATATACTTGGTCAAACTAGCTTATAAGCCAAAAAAAAAAGTACCTCCCCCCCCAACTTATTTTTTTTAGCTTATAAGCTCAAAAAAATTATAAACAAACAGGTCAGCTTAATTTTAGAGCTTATAAGCAAGTTTGACCAGCTTATAAGCTTAGACAAACATCCTCTAAATAGAATTCCAGAAGTCAATCCTTCTGCTCAAGTCTACGGATAATGACAATTATAAATAGAGTAACCGGCATTTTCCTGCCCAAGGTTTGACGAATCTTGTAAGTTCCCACCCGTCTTTCATAAATTACAGATACTCACCTTAAATTAACAGAAAATTATTTAATCTAACAATTAAAAGGAAAAAATAATTATTTCAAAGATAAAAATTTCAAAATAACCTTTCACCACTCAAATTCACCCCATCAAAAAAATTTAAAATAACCCATTCACTTCTCAAATTCACCCCATCAGCGATTTTAGTCAATTCCGGCATGTTTCCAATGCATTTGACCTCTCGACACCACCATTACAATCCCCTGAACCCCCACATCAAAACCCCTAACCTCCCTACCTGATTGAACACCCTAATCGTCGGCCATCGCTCTTAGTTTTAGTCGGCGTTTCATTTAAATTTCGACAAGTCCCAACACCAGAAACCACCCCCAACACCCCCAATAGCATCACCGGCTTTTCCCACCAAAACCCTTAACATCATCGATCGCAATTGCCCGTCGATCGCCATCGCCTCTCCCTTAGGTTTTCGCGTTTTGTTGTGTCTTTCTAGCCAAATTCCGATACCTCACCGAGGTGTAATCGAGTGAAAAAGTTTAGGGTTTTGGTGAGGAAGATAAAAGGATGTTGACAGTGGTGTCGAGGAGGTCCAATGGTGTAAGAATTAGGCCAGATTTTTTGCTTGACCAAGATCTCCTCTAAGGGTTATTTGAGAGAAATTTGAAATATTAAGGTTATTTTGAAAGAAAAGTAACGGTGTTAATTTAAAGGTGGGAATCTGCAATTTATGAAACTAGGAGTGGAAACTTGGAGATTCGCCAAACCTTGGGTGGGAAAATGTTGTTTACTCTTATAAATACAAATAAATAACAAACAGTTCAAATAAACTTACTTGTAAACTTTACTAATGCATGGAAAGATGAATTACAAAATCAATGAAATAAAAGAATCACTAGTTTCGAGCATTCATTTTCACATTACAATCATTCTATCATATAAGCAAAGTCTAATTACAAGCCCCAAGTCCCAACAGCCCTCTCGTATAATGACCAGCTACAAGTTGATGTTGCTGGATGAAAAGGAGGATAGTAGGTCGACGGGAAATTCATGAAAGACAAGAAGATAAAAATAATATACGTATACAAAATGGAATGGCCAACCCTAGTTCTTTAACACATCAAAACAACCTCCATCATGAGGAAGTCTCTATATCTGCAAGTTTGTGATTGGCAAACGAGGATGGCAGATCAATTTCTTTCCGAGATGCTTCCCAGAGTTGCTGCTCTATACCCAACTTCCTCAGCTCCAATAAACCTCGCTCAACTGCCACAAGGCGGAAATTGCAAGCATTGAGCTCTAGTACTACGTTTACTATGACAAAACATGGTCATTACAACTTAAATGTAGTCTCAAGATTTTTAACTTGAACTAAAAGGTGCATTTTCCTCGGTTATAGGTATAGAAAACCACAAAAATATTATTACCATCAACAGCATCATGTGAAGTTGGTGACTGTCCGCTACGACTGATCCAAAGCTGTAATCTCTCCTCCGCTATATCCTCCTCTACACCATGCACTTTAGCTCTTCTCCAGAAATATGTCAGCCAAGCCTGTATATGTCCAGTTACTAGAACTATAATTTCTGATATATGAAGGCATAACACAAACTTTATCTAAACACAGAGAAGGAAAACAATGATGGGATTTTATATAAGAAGGCTTGAAGTGGTGTCAACAAATAACATAAATGTAATCATATTAAGAAAGCATTTGACCTCTTTGAAAAGAACATCTTCTGCCTCCTCTTCACTTAACTCTGCAGAGAAAAGAAAAGTATAAAGCTAACAGAACTTGATATAAAATCATAGTTACTTATAAATATTATATTTGTTCTTTTCACATCATCCGCAATTCTCATAATGCAACCCAAAAACCCGTAAAAGGAAAATGCATCTTCGATCCATATAGCCCTCATGCATGAAGTGAAAATCTAGATATCTCTGGCACTACAGCTTGGAGGATTAACTTAAACCTAAAGAAACCACAGAAGGCACATGTTTCACAAACACCAACATGAATACTCTTCAATGTGACAGGATAGGTTTAATTTCCACAATTTTGCATAATTGATGAGTAAGCACATAATGGTGACAGTTGAGAGTAAAGCCCTTACCAAATGCCTCTGTAAACTTTGGATCACCTGGTGATTTGGAATCTGTAAAAAAAACAAAAAGAAGATAAATGATATGTGAAAAATGCTTTCCATGATATCACAATAGCAAAGTGAACAGTAAAACTTTATTTCATACATCTCCGTCATTAGACCTTCCATGAATACAATAATTATAAAATACTTCAGAATCAGGAATGAATCAACCAAATGGCAGATGATAAAAAGCTAGATTTCATTTTGAAGACTACAAGTAAAAGCTATGGCTGACATACAATGAAAAGAAATCAAATTCACATTTACAGATCAGAAAATTGGTCTTTGTAATTCTGATAACAGGAAATAAAATTATGAGGGCAGAGATGAAAGTACCAGAGAGGGATTGTCGAACCATATTTGGTCTTCTGTGTTGGGCCAATGCAAGCACAACAGCGTCCTCAACCTTGAAACAGGAGCAATAAAATTTCAATTTAATGTTGTATGTAAAGTAGTGCTTTTCCAAAATTTGAACATAAAAGAAAGAACACAGTTGAACAAGAAGAAACCAGCATGCCCTTGAAATTCACAAACTCACATCAACTCAAGGAACAAACTTTCATGTATGCAACATATTAATAAAATTATTAGTGACAATAATCTTTAAGAGGGGCATTCCATACGCATTCAACAGTTGAAGAACCCTCCAAAATCAATTGAATATACAATCACAGAGTGGATACCGGGATTCCATGAATATAACCCACAAAAATATTCAAAGCAATTATAAAGACATAACTGAAAAGAATTTATCTTAAAATAAAGAGAGAAAACCTTTAAAGATGCTAATTCTCTCAAACCCATTTCAACTGAAAGCATACTCTCAATATTTCCTTCTCCCGTAAGATCACTCAAATCCCGAACAAGTTTACTTCTATCAGGATCACCACCACCTACACCATTCACAGGAAATGGTAAACAAATGCAACCATGTAAAGTTAAATAAGCATAACAATAACAGTAAATAAGCTGATCAGGTAACTAGCCTTTCTCCCATGAATCCTCCTTGGCCTTTTGTCCAGCAGAAATGACAACTTCAAAGGGAAGAGGAGCAAAAGCAGACCAGTGCTCATGCTTTGACACTGCTATGTCCGCACAAATGCCTATAAAGAACAATAGCAACCACAAGAGAAAGCAAGTATGATATAACTCATCTATAAACTGAGAAAAAATTGGAAAAAAAAGGGGCAATCCGAGCGTGGCATCAACAACAAATCAAGTATCAACACACCACATGACAAATTAACGAAATTAGTCTTTCGAGTGCAAAATTTTTGAAGATGTTTCCCATGATACAAGATCAAAGAGAGAAATCAAATAATTTTATAGATAAAAACAAGTAGTAATAATCAAATCTACTGTTGATGAACCAACATATAACAAAGAATTTGATATCAGTGTGTTCTATGATTTTTCAGACACAATAAAAGGAAATGTTATAGGGCACTAGAAGTCCGTATATGCCTCATGATGCAAAAAATAATAATAACAATAAAGGACTGCAATTCATTTCATCTCGCTAGTACAAGAAGATTAAAGTAAGTTGACTACCATGCTGTATAGCTAAACCCCAATAGCGAGCAAGCCAACATCTCTTCAGAACAACTTCCTCCTGGAAAGTATATGTAGAATAGAGTTAAGATAGAAACAGATAGTAATAAATCTCACTTTAAATGCAATGAACAAACCATCTCTTCCTGAGTCAATATCATTCTTTGAGTCATTGATCGCAGAGCTTTTGTTTCAGATTCTGCCTCTTGTAGCTGTTCAACAGCTGTTGCAGCCTCATCTTTCAAGTTCTGATTAAAATAAAGGTGGTCAAGTATTTTAGTGTAGATCATAAAATATTCAACTATACTGGTATTCTTAGGATAGTTCACCTGAATTTCTGAACGTAGGGCTACAACCTCCCCATCTTTTCCATCTGTCTTTTGTTTTGCCGCCTTAAGAGCAGCCTGTAATGAAGGATGTTTGTCAGATATAAGTCACATTCTTAGCTACTGGGAAATATTAAAACTCAGAATCGGTTTTTTTAAGAATAATTACAAAAATAAAAATATCGGTATAAAATATCGGTATGTCTTAACATAACAAGGTTTAACTACTGCTGTTGGTACAGTTCAGGTAAATCATCTGAAAACAGAATACAGCTCAAGCAATAGTCTAATCTCAAAGTCATGTACCTGAAGAAAATGAAAAATGAACATAAAATAAAACAATAGCTCCAGTCCTCAAAGTTATTTTTCATGTCACAGCTAATATAAAGCTACAAATTACCTCTCTTTGACGTAAAGCTGCTTCCTTCCTGCAGATGAAAAGTGCAACAATCATAAGCAGAACATTCAAAAACACAACAGGACATGAAATCACCAAGCCTACCTGCTCAACAGTTTGGCTTCCAGAGACACACCTTCTCCAAGGGAAGCAACCTATAAAAGTTAAATATAGAGGTAAGTGATGGTGCATCATTACAAATAAAAACTTCGGGACTTTTTAGGGTATAATCAACAATTCAACTCAATTAAGTATTAAATCCCACTTGCTTCAGGAAATTTAATTGGCCTAGACAGAAACTTGAGATGAAACCAATTTGATGCACAATCTAGTAATAGATGTCAAATATGAAAGCCAAATAACAACCACAGTAACAGTAGCAGCAACATAAACAGCTAAATATATCTATAACTGCAGCTGTGGGTTTAATATTATTTATTAACAGTAAAATTTAAAAGGTAGGGCAAGTAAGGGTTATATGCAACAAAAATTCCCAAGCAAAAAATCAAAAAAGTACATAAACATACAAGATCCTATATCACATACATATTAGAATATCAACTATAAGTACACAAACACAATACAAATTTGAGTGTCTATGTAAGGTATGTGCTACATTTTAGTTAATACAAACATACAAATTAAAGATGCTTACACACACACACACAAAAAAAAACTAACTATTGCAAAATTGAATCATAGATCACTTAAACATAATTTAAAAAATATTGCATTATCAATGTATCCTCACCATTTTCTGACCTAATTTTTAAAACTGAGAAAATCAATGTGATTACACCATATCAAAGTCCTGCATCCATAACTGTACTTACAGCTTAAAACAAATCAACATATAGCATCCATTATTTTATCCACGTGGAGATATAAATAAAAAATATTAAACAAAATAAATATCCCTTAAACATATCAACAAATAGAAGTCAAAAAACAAAGGTCGTAAGTTGAGGGGCATGCACAAGTTATACCTACACTAATGGACTCTGCACTTTATGGAAATCTATTTACCCAAAAACAAATTATTTGCATACAAATAGAATACAACTGACCTGTTTCTCAAGCTCCCTGGCTCTAGCTTCTGATTCCTCACGTCTCTCTTCAGCATGACGAAGCTGTACAGCATGCTTAGGCATAAATCATATACATCGTGCATATTAAGGGGAAAAAACAAAGTCATTTTTGGGCAAGGTTGAGCTCACCTTGTCAAGTAAACTATCATTCTCTTCTTGTAGCATGTCAAGCTGCAATTTATAAATATTTATTAGTTTCAAACTTGCTGCTTCAGGACATATAATTCACATTCAGAGAAAAGTTAAAATTGTTGGAAACAATAAATATCTTCTTCCAATGTATTTCAAACGTCATATACGTCTTCAACAAGACATAAATTAATGGATGGAGAGTGACATACTTCATCACGAAGTGCAGAGGCTTCACGCTGATCTCCTGCATCTTTTGTATTGAGTAGTGATATATCTGACGAGAACCTAAAACAATTAACATAAATGAAGTTCAAGAAATCAGAAAAGATAATATTTTGCCCAAACCATACAAATGAAGCTTCTCAACATCAAAACAAAAAATTTGCAAATCACGATTGCATGATTTGCATCCACAAGCACCGACATGCATATTATAACCGTAGGCATCAGAAAAACAACACCACTTGAGAGTCCACATGAATAAAGCCATGAAAAAGTAGTATCAGTTGGTCTTATCTGTTTTGCTTTGTAATAGGTGACCAGTCACAGTAAGAAAGGAATGGTTTTAAACTTAAAAGAAAGATCTACACATCCTGTAAGTAAAGGCATAATGAAAATAAGGATCATGCTACAGAATTGATACCAACTACCGTACCAGCAACATTTTACAATTCAGACATTCCAGGTCACAATTCACATCGTTTAGAATTTTTATGTTTTACATTACAAGTTCTGTGTTGATAATTAATACTAAATCACATCAAACAACAACTATTCATTTACCATATCAACTGAACCTCCCTCAATTAGCTCCAACTTTAGCACTCAGCAACTAAGTAAACTAAAATTACCAATAATTCGCTCCTCCTTAGCCAGGGATAATCATGGTTCAAAAGCATAAAGTCCAAGCCCAGGGCAATTTAAGCGAAGCCTTGAACAATCTAAGCCTTACCTCTTATCTCTATTCCTATGAGTAGGGGGTTCGATCGGAGGTATAGAAACCGGAGTTCTAACCGATGGTCTACTTGGCGGCATCAACGTCGTTGTTCTAACAGACATCGTTGACGGCCTTCCAGCTGACGTGGACCGCACCGATGCTGCATGTTCTACAAAGTTCCGACCTAACTAATCAAAACACGAAATAATTCTAATCAGATCGATCACAATGTAGGCAATTAACTAGAAATCTGAGATTGCTAAATTATTTATAAAATTACCGCAGGAGACGGAGATCTATTAGCTCTATTAAACGAAATCGCTGGTAACGAACTATGATTACTACTAGTTCGATTGCTATCTCTGGTGGATACGGGAAAGCGGAAGGAGAGATCGTCTTCTTGATCATCGTCATCCTCGTCGTCGCCAGTACCAGCGGCGGTCTGCGTGGCCATGACCTGAGCGAGGCGCTGTGCGGCGGCCTTGGCAGCCACGTTTTGGTTGCGCTTGATTGAGGAGACTGCCGGCTGCAGCCGTGACTGGGGTTGCGCCGGTGATGACGAGCCCGAGCTGCTCGATCCTCCACTCCACTGCCGTCCGTACACTGGACTACCCGTCCTTCGCCGATCCATTTCTATTAATTCTTTAAGTGTGTATGTTGAGACTGGAGCAAGGATTATACGAGAACTAGATTTTCTCGAGAAAATCGGGGAATTTGTGAAAGAGAGGGGAAGCTGGGTTGAAAACGGCTGAATTTGAAAGAGACGACGTCGTTTGGTCTTGGGTTGACAATTATGCGTGTTTCGCGGGAGCGATCGAGTGGAGATAGGTGGGACCAATTGCTGATCATGGCAGCTGTGTCAACCTGACTGGCGGCACGCTCAATAACCAAAATTTTGTTCTTTGATTAAGCAATAGCTTATTAATTACATATTTATATAATTCATAAATTCACTGGTAAATTTTTAATATAAATAATTTCCAAAAAAATTAATCCAAAATTTATGTTTCAAGATCGTAACTCTATTTGAATTTTTTTTTTATCAGTTACATTACATATATAACTAGGTAAACTTTAACAAACCAAACAACCGTTTTATGCCATTTTCTAATCTTGTTTTTTGAATATATTCTTCATTTATATAATACAGTGAATTATGGCAAAATACACATAAGATATACAAGAAAGGGGACTGATTCATGAATGGAGTTCCAATATCTACAATGGGAGTCCCAGTATATTTATTAGTAAGTTTCTGTCTCTCATCGTATATGTATATCCACCATTTAATGTTAAAGCCTGCTTCTCCAAATGTTATGCGACGCCTATATAGACCAATTATTAGTGATTATTGTATTTTTATAAAACTTATTGTTAACAATTTTTTTTTTATATATATTTAACTTGTAGTATTGATCGATTGTCACGCGGTCGACTGGATTCGACAGCATTCATTTTATTTTATTACTATTAATTTAACTGCTTCAGTGCAATCTGAAACGTTTGCACCTTTCAATTACAGAAGTATAAGAGTGACTGAGCACAAGGCGAGATATCGCTTTTGGAGACTTACGCCGAACTCTTCCTCTAAGTGACTAAGATAAAGATATCATAGAGGATGTGAGCACCAGTTTCAGAAAACTCAACTGTTTCAGGTTCTGAGAGCTCCCTTTGAACACTAACGCCGAACTCTTCATCATACTCAACCCCGTGATTAGCAACCCATATATGGTTGAATTAAATTCTGGAAGAGATCTATCATGCTACTCCATTTTAATTGAAATTGTAGAGAGAGCTATAATAAATGGGGAAAAGAATTGGATGTGGTACTTCCATCAAACCACTGAGTGGTGGTACGGTGGGGAGTATTCTCGCCTGTCACCCCTGGCCGTCTCATCCCATCAGCGGCACTAAAGCCTTCCTGAATTCAAGCTGTTTTTTTCAACACTAATGCCGACGAGTTTCACCCTTGTTACGTTTTTAGAGCTCTTCCAGCATTCAGATCAAATTCTTCCTCCATGTCCAACGAGTTTCTCAGTATGATTGCTTTAAAAACAGAGACGCAAAGCTACATAGCCCATGCTTTTCTGAATCTTTCTCTCTTTTAAGACAATACTATTTGTACAGAATTGGAATCTCTATTGATGAATTATCGATGTGTTTCGACTGATGTTGTTCCTCCTGCAATTAATGGATGTTTGACTTATTAGCAACCACGCAGTGAGACCTAAAGTTGACCCAAAGTTGAGCGAAAATATTATCAAAGTTTATGGAAAATGTAGTAAAGAGTGTTATACACCTGATTGTGACTTTGTAAATTGTAGATGCAGAGGTGACAGAGCCCATGGGCTATACATTCACGTGAGAATCATAGACATTAGTGATCAACATTCAAAGGTCCATCTTCTACCAACGTGACAATGAATTGGGCCTTTTGGGTCCCGATCCCAGTTGCAAGTTGACAGTGTCAATGTGGACCTTGTTTCCTCAGAGCCACGTGAAATACAATCTCCACCTGTTGCTGCACCATCGTCCAACGCTCAATGCTTTGCTCAATTTCGACATATCAGATGTAGCCATCAATATCCCATAAAAAGATACACTAAAATAAAAGATGTATAAATCTATTATTATCATTATCACATGTCATGTTACTTACAATGTAAAATTTAATTATGCATGTTAAGAAAAAAATCAATATTAAATTTGGGTTTGGAATTTGATACCTAAAAATTGTTACACGTAACGTAATTGGTCTTTGTAACGTGATAAATGATTATGGTAGATATCGTTCATATTTCTTAACTTTTAACTTAATTGGCCGAAAAAATCTTTTAATTTACAAAATATAATATAAATTCTATAAACTTTAATTAGGCTATCAATTTTAAAATAGGTTTATGATAAATTAGGTTGTTATGTTAAAGACATGAAAATAAATGAACATTTTGTTATTAGTTGAAATATACTAAAATACTTTTGAAAAAAAAAAAAATCTGTGGCTCGTTTGGTTGCCAATTGGGAATACTACTTTAGTATTCCCAAAAAAGTTAAACAGTAAAATACCCAAAAACTTTGATTTTTGGGAATACTACTCCCAATATTATTCAACTTTTTTTAAACCTCTTAAATTTGATAATTTAATTAATACCCTAATTTTTTTTTAAAAATTACAAAAACACCCAGTAATTCAATTTACCAGATTCGGCCACTACTGCCCGAAAATGGCCAGAATATGTTAGGATGGCGCACTACGGCTGAATCTGGCCGGTAGTGCGCCGATCTAGCCTTTTTTGGTCAGATCCACGGTGGATCTGGCCGTTGACGGCCAGATCTAAGGCTGTAACGGTTTATAACAACGGCAACAAACGGTCGTCGTTTGTTGGCCGTCGTTGACTGACGAGAAAATACGGCCAGGATCCACCGTGGATCTGGCCGGCAAAGGCCATATCGGCGCACGACCGGCAAGATCCAGCCGGTCATGCGCCAATACGGTGAACCCGGCCACCCTCCGGCGGTGGTGGCCGGCTGTCCGTATTTGACATTGGGTTGGGGGTGTTTTTGTTAACTTTTAAGATTTTATTATAGGGGGTGTTTTGTAAATAAACAAATATAGGGGGTATTTTAAATTTATAAATCCTACATCGTAATACCCGCCCAATTTCACTTTTTTTTAACTTTTTTCAGAAAACTTTTTCCAAAAACACCCAATTGTGAACCAAATGAAGCCTGTATTTTTCCAATGCAAGTTGCAACTACTGTTTAGAGAACATTTATGGAACGACTTTATAGAATGATACTTTTTGATACTTTGACACAACAATAACAATAATCATATATTCCAATATGTGAATGCCAACTTGTTTATGGATGAATTTCAAAGAGCCAAAAAGTGAAGAGGCAGTTTGTTGAGTCGTATTGGCCCCTTCTGTAACCAATAGGTTGCCAGAATTTTGCAATAGAGCTGGATCCTGTCGCTGTCAGCCTGAGAAATTGCTTGAAGCCTCCTCCATTGGGATATTGAAAATTACGACCTTGCTTACCTGCGACACTTGATATGGCCTTCACGTCTCTGCTTACAATATATACTTATAAAATTAAGGCTGTCTTTAATCTTTCATAATTGCCAAATGCCTTTGCACGCAATTCCAGTCATACCATCAATAATCAAACTAATTCAGAGAGGTTAAATAAATTCTTTAAACAAGTTAAGCATCAACTATCAATATAGAAAATACAGAAGTAAAAGACATGAAATATAAAGTATTTAAACAGATTTGTTAAGCTAATATATTTATAAAAAAAAAAAAAAAAAGAGTAAACGACATGTACCCACCCAAGGTTTCACAAAACGATAAGTTACTATCCCTGATTTCATAAATTCCAGATTTCCACCCAAAAACCAACAACGTTAAAGATTTTTTAGGATCTAACACAAGTATGAAATGACTATTACCATATTGCCCTCAATAAATAAATAAATAAATTGCTTTTTAACCCCTGCATATAGGGGTGGGATAAATAATCTGAAAACCGAACCGAACCGAAAATTAGGTTTTTTTGCAAACTGGTTCGGTTTGGAATATTTTCTAAACCGGTTTAACCCTAACTATATAAGCAAAAAAAATTTTTCACTCAGATCTCTACTTCTCTATTTCTCTTTAGTCTTCGCCGCCTCCAAATCTCTACACTTCCAGTCTTCCACAGTGCACAGTGCACACTCCCATCCACACCATGAGCAGACTCTAGTACTCCACTCTTCATCACTCACTCCACTGTCCAGTCACTAGTGTCCACTCCATCTTCATTATTCATTTCTTCGCACGTTTGCCAGCACCCAGCAGACTCCACTCTTCAATCACGCCACTGTCCCACCGTGAGCAAACTCCACTCTCCAAGCTCCGATCTTCACAGTCCACACTTCACAGTCTCCGATCGTCGCACTTTGCCAGCCCCTAGCAGGGCCACGTTGCCAGCAGCAGTCTCCACAACAACCACCTAGCACCCACTCACCTAGCAGTCTCCACCGTCGCTGCTAAGTGGTAAGATCCAAGCACTTACAATTAATTTAATACCTTAACGGGACAAAAATTGATGATTGAAAATTCTTTAATACCGAACATGGATACAATAAATACAATTCCCCAGCAATATTAATTTTGTTTGTCTATCTAATTCACAAAAACAAAAACCATAAAAAAGTAAAAAAGGCAAAAAAAGCATTCTCTGCTTGTTGTCTATCTTTGTTTGTCTATCTAATTGATGATTGGCCTGTATTGTGAGCTCAATGTGGGTGAATTGATGATGTTGTTTGTTGGTATAACGGGTTTTTTGGGTGATCTTGCCTGCTGTAGGTTCTTCTTCTGGGCTGTTGGTGTAACGCCCCACTTAAGGTATGTAGTTAAATTATTGTTGCATTGCTTGAATGTTTATTGATTTGTTTTCATTTGAGCTTGCATGTTGTTATTTTTGGTTGGTTGGCTCTTAGTTGAATTTTGTTAAAGTTATTTTGAGAAAAAAGTGAAGAAAATCCCTTAAAGTTTCATTAGGGGTAAAATGGTCTTTTCACTTAAAATTAGTTGAAAAATTGGGGAGTGAAAAGAGATAGAATTTCATGGAGAATGTAATAAAAATGAGGGCATTATTGTAATTGACTAAGGGACATAGATGGAATTTCAAGAGGGCAAAATGGGAAACTATATATATATTATTATGTAATAAGAGTTCAAGAGTAGAAACCCTAGCCACTCTATCCCTCCATTCATGCCATTCTCTAC